AAAACGTTTTATTATATAAAACACGAAGATTTCTTTATTCTATGGAAATTATACAATGTTAGTAATACTCGTTTACCTAATTTTACTTTCTTGAAATAGATCCCGACAACCATTAAGATAATTTTAGTTTAGATTGTAATTCTACCAAAAAATCATCAAAGGTAATGGGACACTTTAAAAACTAATAAAGGTGGAGTTGTTCCCTTTGGAGTAAAGACTCTTGGGCAGTGGGGTTCTAGTGCACAGGCGCTAATTAAAGATTTAAATTTGCGCCTGGTTAGTACCGGTGACCCCAAATCTGATGCTTTCCTCGCTTAGCGAATAAGTATATACAGCGAGTAAATGCTGCCAGCGTTAAAGGTACACTGCCACAGGGACCAAACTTTTAAATTTGTTTTAATTTTCTTTTTATTCATTTTTGGTTAAGCAAATTGTAAGTAATGTCAAAGTCAAAAATCATGTAGGTAACACAATGTACACTTATGAACGTCAAAAAAGAAATAAACATTAATAAACTGGCAATAAACTCTCCACCACTCTTTTTAATCGCAAATATATTTGATTGTTATGTTTTGGTTTTATTAACTTGTTTATTAAAAAAAATAGAGTGTTAATAATACATCGCTGTTTCACCAAGGTCATAATATTTCCGCGAAAAGAGTGGTAATAATTTATTACGTTCTAGACATTAAAATTACCGTCGTAATGTGCGGTTACTGTGTCAACCGACATGTTTAAACTGAAACAATCTTAAAACGCTTTTGCTCTTCAGTCTAATAAGATAAATTACTGTAATGTACATTTAACTATTTACACTAAATACGTAACAACAATGTTTAAACCGAGTAGGAAAAGAAGGTTTTATTTGTTATATATGTGTATATGTAATGTACTTAGTATTGTAGTGATAATAGCATTACCTTCTTTTATTTTTCCTAAATAGATTTGGCTTTTACGACTTTGTGCCCCGAGGCAAGCGATATCTTAAAATGACAAATAAATTATTGCACCATATGGATCTCCATTGTTCCGACGGCTTGTTTGAAGTTTTGTTGGCTTTACGATGACTACTGAATGTAAAAAACATTAAAGAATTCAATTAAAAGTGACAATGCCAGCATTAAAACGATTCTGAAACGTTCTTTTGATATACGATAGTGTTGTGTGCTCGAAGTGGCGGCAAAAAGCAAAATGACACTTGAAAAAGGCGCGAACTTAACATAAACAAGAGCTTTTTAACAGGGCGCATTTAAATGTTAGCCGGATGTAGATAACTAAATAAAATTGTTGCGCACAATGTTTAATAAATGATTATGTTGTAAGTGGTTGTACTAGGAAGTAAGTGATAAGTCGATCATTTAATCTGTGATTTTATGTCATCAAGCAGAGAACGGTGAAGGACTTTGATCTGTGGTAAAACAGTCTAGTCAAAGACCAAAAATCTTGTCCTTGGGTAATATTACAGACACATGATAATAATTGTAGGATGTATTGACAACAATCACGGCAAAAAATCAATAAAAAACGTAAAAATATACGTAACTTTGCGTGGAAAAACACTTCTTTACTTAATTGATATATTATGTACAAACGACCCGACCCGGCTGTGCACGGGAAACCTGATATATCAAAGCTTGTGTTTACAAATTAAAAAAACACCGTTTTTTTTAGATTTTCCGCAATTTTCTCTTCATAAAAACCTTCCTCAGAGTTCTAGGAATAAAAGAAATGACTAAATTGGTCTGTCCGTCTCATTCCTGCGAGAGCTTTATTATTAAATTTGTAATTTAACCCGGAAATTATAAGCTATTTTTAAATCGAAGAAATCTCGCGAAAATTCATTCAATTCAGTCATAAAGCATTTGATGAGCGTTGCCACATTGTTCAAAATTAATAGAAAACTAGAAATATAAATGGGCAATTTAAATCGTTATAGAAAAGTTGTCATAACTGGATATTTTTATATGATTTGCATAAATTATATTGATTTAATTATGTAAAATATCATAAAAATGTTGAGGTGCGGCAACGCTGCCTATAATTTAATGTTCTGTCCATGAGTACAATATCCGAATTAATTAAAATTAATATGACGATGTTTTTCGGATCGTTAGAATATGATAATAGACAATTGTTGGACGAAATTAGTCTGTACATTAGGTACAAGATTCATATCGAGACTTCTTTGTTTTTTTCTTTTACTGTGTAACTTATGATTCAATAGTAGGTACTTATAAGATTTCCGGATCTGTTCTCGTTCTATTAGGGGCGTTGGTCCTTTTCTAAGCTGGAGACATTTTTTTTACGAACTTGGTACGTACTTGGTACCTCGGTATTTTGACAGTACCAAGTTTATATATAAATAAATAAATGAATCAGTGGCGCAACAAACTCTGTAGGTCTTGGCCTCAGATTTCTGATTCTGTTTCATGATCATTTTTTAAATCTAATTGGCAAGTAGGTGATCAGCCTCCAGTGCCTGACACACGCCGTCGACTTTTTGGGTCTAAGATATGTCGGTTTCCTCACGATGTTTTCCTTCACCGTTCGAGCAAATGTTAAATGCGTACTTAGAAAGAAAGTCCATTGTGATTCAAGTGTCACATTCACTTGGGGAATGCGAAAGAAAGTCCATTGGTGCACGGGGATCGAACCTACGACCTCAGGTATGAGAGTCGCACGCTGAAGCCACTGGGCCAACACTGCTCTCAAGTTTATATATACTTGAAGCAATTATGACTGTAAAATAGCATCCAAAATTATTCAAAACCCTTAAGAAACTTGCCTGTCTTTACCGAGGAATCCAACACGGCTGTGCCTGTACCACGATGTATTTCAAAAATGGTTACGCTATGGCTATCAATCTATTTAATCACCTTCCTAGAAGTAAGAGATCCTGCCGTGTGCCTTCAAGGGGAAGGTGATTGCATTTTTAATGACAAGGTGCCTTTATTGGGAAAGTATTTAGACCATATGTTTTGACAATTATAAATAACTTAACTTAATATATGACATGAAAATAAATATGACATTTGCATGCTTTTATTAATGGCTGATTGTGCGACTTTTCTTTGCAAATAACACAATTTGATTGTAACAGTTTCTCTAAGACGAAACCTTTCTTGGCGTTTATTAATTGAAGATTATACCAGAATTAATAGACTAATATATATTTAGTCGTAAACTATTACCTAGTACACATAATGTGTATTTATAATTACGTTTATAATGTATACTTCTAATTACGGTTAGGAATTATACAATACTAAAAACAAATATACCGTATCGAATTTCCAACATATCATCTGTGTCGGCGCGAAAGCTGGCCACAGATAAAGCTAAATTAATCGTAACATGTGTAAATTAGATAAATCTATTGCATGTCTGTGGGGCATCTGCTATTATTGGTGATTAATATTTATGGTTTTTATCTTAATTTGACGACAGTTTTTTGGAGTGGCATAGTAGCTTTTTTTAAGCGATGTTTTTGTTCATTTTATTAAATAGGAGACATTTTTGACAAGGAAAGGAGTACTTCTAGCAGTAAATAGGAGAAGGACATCTCAAATAAAACAGGCGCATGGTGTTATAAAAAACTATGCAGCAGATAACTAAATTATTATGTAAATACATGCTCACGTATTCACAAATATTGCAACATATTTTTTACATTATTTATATAAAAAAAGATTTTTATTACATATCAACAATGTAATTAATGTATCTCTAGGCCTGAAATAGTTAATTGTGTTAAATCAAAGTTAAAATGGTTTCAATTAAGCTAATTAAATCAATTACGACAGGGAATTGAGACATTCGATTATTTTAAGAGCGCCATCAACATTCGGCGTTTTAATTGTTTTTTTATTTCCCAACGTTGTCTTTGATTCTTTGTTTGTTGTGTTAAGCAATTGATTGTTAAGCTTTTGCTAAAAGGAATCAAATTCCATGTTTATAGTTTCCGCAATTCTATTCAACAAATAAACAGTTACCTCTGTCATAATGTCTTTAATCCAGTGGCGTAACAATAGGGTGGCAACTGGGGGCTGGCAAAATGCCACATAACCCCGACCTAAGACGGCCCCTGCCCAAGAGATATTATGTTCTATCGATGAAGTCTCCAATACGCATTGGGCTAGCGTGGGGACTACAGACCATTCCCTCTCGCCTAAGAGAAGAGGCCTATGGCCATTAGTGGGACATAGACGTGTAATTGAGTACGCTGAAAATCTCGAAGTTTAGGTATTAAAATTAAACTAAGTACAACGTGACGATTTTTACCGATAGGGAACCATCAAAAGAATTTGCCACGGGCCCCAGATGGTATAGTTACGCCACTGCTTTAATCATTAGTATAAAAAATAAGTGGCGCTACAACCTTTTAGGTCTGGGCCTCAGATTTCTGTATCATTTGTCCATCTAATAGGCAAATAGGTGATCAGCCTCCCGTCGATTTTGGGTCTAAGGCAACATATCCTCACAGTTTACCGTTCGAGCTAATGTTAAATGCGCACATAGAAAGTCACAGCACAGCCTAGGCTCCAAACTACGAGCTCAGAGATGAGAGTCCTCGCTGACTAGGCCAACACTGCTCATCATCATTAATTAACCTCCTTATTTATGGTGAAAGTCACGAATTTACTCATGCAACAACTGACAGACTGGGTCGAAAGCTATCGTTAAAACTAAAATATTATTACTGTACTGAAATAGGTTTGGGGCCGTTCTTTACGTCGGGGGGGGGGTTGATTTTCTGATTCAGTCAACAGTAATTATTTGATTTTTTACACATATTACCCACACATTGTCTATGCTTAAAAACGAAATGCATTTTCGAGGATTCCTGCAAAATATTAATACGCTAATGTGCTATTATTTTTGAGAGCTTTGCTGATAATGCTGATGACTGGTACTGGTAACAAGATATTTTTACAGGCTCCGTGAAATCAGATCAAATAGTCTCAAAGAACAACATATTAATACAAATATATCTCTTACAGATTACAAAGCGAAGCCGCTAGTCCTGGATCAGAATCAACATCAGACTCCCCACCATCCTTGCTCCAGGATGCAAACCTTCCCGCACTGCTAGCCACCACCTACCCCAACACATCCACCAGCTCGCTAACCGGTGACGTCCTAGGCTTGTCTGAGGTGGAAAATCTCAACGGATGCCCCAGCACATTGCCACTGCCATTGACCTCGACTGGCCTTTCCACCTCCACGTCTGCTGTCGCTTGGTTGATGAATGAAGATAGTACGGGTATGTTCTATTTCACTAAAAAACATTTCAAATAGTAGTACATTTAGTAGCGCCATCTCTTATCTATTTTTATCATTACTTAGTATTAGTATTGTCATTACGCCATTTTTATTTCCGAACCAATTCCACTGGGGTCCTTCAAAAGGTTTCCTAAAAGGCCGGAAACGCACTTGCGAGCTTAAACATAAGGTGCATCCTGCCCGTTTGTCCCGTGTTATATATAACCCACAGTTGAATTCCCAGCAAAATAATAATTTATATGGAATTAGCTTAGCTTACATTTCATTAAAATTGTTTAAGTATCATTTAAGGGAGAGAAATTTGTGTTTTAAATGAGTCTGAAGTAAAATATTCTTTAAGAAAATAATAATATCGCTCTATCTTATATTTCTTTGATTTTAATTGTGAACGAATTGAGTTCAAGAGACGAACCAAAATTCAATTTCTAAGGCAAACTTTATATTGTTGAGGAGTAACGAAGCCACGACAGACACGAATTTCAATAGAAAAAATGACCAGGAAAACATATCACTGACAAGGCTTTTCCATTAGAAAATGACCAGGAACACATAGACACAGTGGTAGTAGTTGAATAATGCTACAATAATTTCCTCGCTTATATTATTTGAACGGACTAATATTAGTTTAGGAGTAACGATGAAACAGACAGACGCGCAACTGTCAAAATTTTACTATTTTTTCAATAGAAAATGACCAAGAACACATAGACACAGTGGCAGTAGTTGAACAATGCTACAATAATTTCTTTTCTCGCTTATATTATTTGAATGGACATTAGTTTAGGACTAACGATGCCGCAAACCGACATGCAAATATCAAAATTTTACTATTTTTTCAATAGAAAATGACCAGGAAAACAGCACTGACAAGGCTTTTCCATTAGAAAATGACCAGGAACACATAGACACAGTGGTAGTAGTTGAACAATTCTGCCATAATTTACTTATCGTAATTTGAACGGACATTAGTTTAGGAGTAACGATGCCACAATCAGACACGCAAATGTCAATTTCAATAGAAAATGACCAGGAAAAAAACTGACAGGGCTTTTGCATTAGAAAATGACCAGGAACACATAGACACAGTGGTAGTAGTTGCATAATGCTGCTATCATTTCCTCGCTATGTTGCGATACTTAACGTAATTGAATATTGTTCGCAGGTGGTGGTGTGAAGAGCGAAGTCCGAAGTCCAGGTCTTTGTGACGCGGACGTCGCCTTGTACGGGGAGACTCTGCCGTACGACCAGTCCGCGTTGTCTTATCAGTATTATAATAGGTGAGTACTGATACACTCTACGTTCTACTTCATCCACGTACGCTCTGGTGTATGTCTCAAGTTCGCGTGTGATAGCACGGACGATACAGTGTTTCGCGGAACACAAATGAAGTACACGCCAAATGATTTTAATTTAAATGACTCGTAAATTATATAATTTATAATAAAATTGCTAGTAAAAGCTCTCGGCCGTACTAATGTACTGTAATTCAATAATTTTTTAGCTCCATAAAACTCGCCATGATCGAATAAAAGTTAGGCAAAAGTGAGAAACGACTTTGTGTTTTTTATGTATCGAGGAATTCGTATTGTATTGTGTTTTTAATTAGAGTCAACAATTAAAATTTGAGTGAAGGATCATATTTATTGATTTTAATTCAAGCGTCACTTATTAAAGTCTACCATGTATGATTTTGGTTGGTGCCCGCTCTTAGTCGTGGAACTACTGTTCATATAAATGGTACAACTTTTTTAAATAGGGAATTTTTAGAAAAAGGCTTCAGAAATTCCAATATTATATATTGCAAAACAGCAAAACAGCACAGGCAGGATGGTGTGTGAAACAATTTTTTTAAATACAATTATTATAAGAACCCGAAATAAACGGTCCGTTGAACTGAAGCCAATGAAGACGATTAATGAGATTATTTTAGCTGTAATTAGGTTATAAAAGGTACTAGTTATGTATATAACAGCAATCCCCGGGGTCCGGGTAATAACACGGTAGGCGTTATAGGAATTCGCGTAAAAAGACTATTATCGTAAACCCGTTTTTTTAATAATAAAAAAACTTGGAACACGAATTTAATAAATTTAGTTCAATTTAATAACAACGCAATTGAAGGTGAAAATCTACGCAAAACTAATTATGGACTTGAAAATCATTATACATTTCAAAATCAGAAATATACCTAACTTGAGAAATCTCCACTTTATATGGGGGGGCAGAAATCGCGTTATACGAAAACGCGTTTTAGGGTTTACTGCACTTCGATATACATACTACGGTAAGGTAACACAGCTAAATAAATAGCGATTTTTGTATTAAATAAAAGTTCGTATTTACAATATGTCAAATTCCACGAACCCAATTTTTTTTTAATTTTATTTACAAAAATAATATTATCCTAACACGTGACCCTATATCTGTTAAAATAGTGTCTTAGAAGATATACCCCACAATTATACTATAGTGACATATTTTTTTATCAATTAATTAATATATTTTTTGTTCTCAGTATGCAACAATATGGCGGTGGAGGCGCTGCATCATCTTACGTCAGTTCGTCCTTGTACAACCAGCCCTATGGCGCTTACCCAACTGCGCACAATTCTAATAATAGGTACAATTCTAATATACACATATATAGGTATATATTTTCGGTATACTTGATAAATATTTTTTAAACGCAAGTAGCTGATTGATATTCTCTTCGCTATATGAGCAGGTAGTTATTTCGTACAGGGAGAAAAATTATCTCTAGGATGAAACACTCGCTTAAGAAGCAGATATTTTGCATACAAAAATATCAGTAAATTGTTATCAAGTGTCATTCTATGTACTCGTCGTCATAATCCTATAATTTCATATAATATCTGTTGTGCTTTCAAACCCCCGCAAAAAGTGGGTAAAGTTTGACGTGTCTGTTGTCTAAAGTCTATTAAAGCAATGAAATAATTATAACGGTGTTTTTATTAAAAAGCGGATGTGATCGAAATGGTTATTTGTCTATGAATATCTGATTTTATTTTGTTTACAGGCCGTCGTGCAAAGCGACGCCAACGTACCTAAGTGCTTACGGCGTGGGCGGTGTCGGTACAGTGCCCAGCACAGGCTTCGGAACCCAACCATCACCCTATGCGTATTCTTCGTATAACAGCGGACTGGCGCAGTCATTTTCAAATACCCAACAGGTATTCATTATATTGTTGCTTCGAATGTCTATAGATGTATTTATCTTACGACTGGACAAAGTGCAAATATCTTTTATTTTGTTTATCTATATTATACAAAAATACTTTATTCAAGCCAAAAGTGCGACAAAAGCACACCATCTTAAAATTATTATTTAATTTTCTAGTCAGAACCAAAACTTAAATCTAGCATAAAATAAAACTAATTGCCAAAAAATTTGTTTTTAAATCCAAAACATTTCAATGCTTATACATACTATGTCACTCACTAACGTATAGTAGACAATTATTTCATTCATGTTTTTTTTATTTTTATTTTGTGTAATTTATGTTCTATATCTTTACCACAGGACTACGGAAGTTACGCAACCGGCTATGCAGATCATAGCGTTGCCCAATATGGCGGGTACTACGCAACCCCTAGTTATTCACCCTACGTTAGTTCACCAAGCAGCAGCGGTAGCGCAGGACACACGTCTTATCACCTCGGCGGTACTTTAGCAGGTCAGCATTATTAGATGATGAAACCATATAGGATTTTTTTTTACTATACATGTTCTAATTTTGCTAGAACTACATATAAAAGGTAATTAAAACATAAGCTAAAAATGTTATTGTATAATAATATGTTGTGCAATGTGTCCTGCGACCCATAGCTGTGTAAAGCGCCACCTAGTTCATGTGTCATGATACATCCAAAAGAACAGACAATTGACTTTTTCTTGGTCGCTTATTTTGACATTAAGATTCGTAAAGTGATTTAAATTATATATTATAGTCTATGGTTTCTTATTATCTTATATTTGATTATTATTTGTTGATGTTTGTGTCCGTCACATATTTTGTGTAAATTTATAATTTTACGAATTGTAATACGCTATAAAAATGAAATAAGAGTCTGTTTTAATTAATATAATAAAGCATTCCACTCAGTGTATTCCAATAGCGTTAAAAAGACAAGCCCATCATGAATAAAGAGAACGAAGATTATCCCCCACATAAAAGATTTAAAATTGACCGTCCTTTAGTAAGCTATGATGACGATTCAGATTATTGGCCTGATTCTGATGGTGATAGTGGTAATAATAGTGTATTTATATTGTTATCATTTCGTAGAACATTTTATTGGTTAGAATAACCAAAGATTTATAAACTTGTCCAAAACTTGATTTATAGGCTGAAACTGCTTTTGGCGGAATATTTGTTATTTGTATTCAATCTTTATGTCTCTCTAAATTAACAAAATATTCCTTAAAATCTTTTTATATACATATGACTTGCTAGTCCGATTTGGTAGAATGTGCTTAGATATACTGAATAACATACAATTTTAGATTTTTATTTAATTTCTTTTGAAAGTATTGAGTACTCATTTCTTACAAGTGTAAAATGAAATATACAATTATTTCAGATTCACCGTCAACAATGCTTCCATCAATTAATGACACACCTCTATCACCAATCAAAAATGAAATACACGCTGCCAGTAGAAGGTGTAGAGAAAACTCAGGGTGAGATTTTAACTATATCTTAGTAACTTACTGTTGTGTTCTTAACAAATATTTGTAGTATAATATGTTTATTGCTATACATACTGGCATCTGCACTAATAGCTTCCATAGTTTAGCAAACTACTTAACAAGGATTCATATTGGTTTTGGACCTTAATTCAAGTTTTGTTTTGCAAGTCAAACTCTTGTTTAGAAACATATTTCTGGTTGTTTTTATTTATTTTTGTAACATTCACAGAGAAAGCACAGCATCAAGATCTCGTGGGCGAGGAAGGAGAAATACATCATCATCACCTGCCCAACATGTTCCTGAGCCAACTACCGAAAGAGTATTTATCTGGGATCTTGACGAGACAATTATCATATTCCACTCTCTCCTAACTGGGACATATGCTACGAAGTACAATAAGGTATGTCTTAAGCTGACAACACATTTAATTAAAAAAGGTAAGTATGTCTCATTTATGTTACCACCAAAGAAAATTTTGGTATGTTTTGATAAAAAGTGCCTCATTTTTAATGGATACTCATTTACATTTACGCATTATGGATACTCACTTAACTTATAATAAGTAGTATTCTTGTGTTATTGGTTTGTGAAGGTTACGAGTTGATAATTTCTTATGCATCATTGCTTTACAGGGAATTAAGCCAAAACAGTAATAAATAATAAAGTGTAATTTAAATATTGTTTCAGGACACACAGCAAATAGTACAACTGGGATTCAGAATGGAGGAGATGATTTTCAGTCTAGCTGACACTCATTTCTTCTTTAATGATGTTGAGGTAATTTTTATTATATGTCTTCATCTTATTGTAGTGTCCCCTGATTGATGATATAAATTATAATAACTACTAACTAATCTGTAGAATAACAATATTATTTTCTAATGTTTTCAAGTCAGAATTTATTAGATGAACAATATGATTTTTCTACTGTCTGTTCGTATGAAGTCTTACTAAAGTAACCTCATTAATTTGGATAACCCTTTTTATCTTGTTTTGGAAAGTCACCAAGATGTAAACAGTTTGTTGTAAACAAGTTGAAATTAATTTAATTCTATATTATTACAGGATTGTGACCAGGAGCACATAGACGCAGTGGCAGCAGACGATAATGGCCAGGACTTATCTGCCTACAACTTCGCGTCCGACGGGTTTCACGCGGGGGCGGCACCTAATGCTGGCTTATGCGCCCCTGGTGTAAGAGGCGGAGTAGATTGGATGAGAAAGTTGGCGTTTCGATACCGAAAAATTAAGGATACATACAATAATTATAGGAATAGGTGAGATTCATTTATTTGTACATAGTTCTTACTAAACTCAGTCGAAATTGAATTCGTGTACGCGGTGATGTTAGTTATTTCGACTATGTATTTGCGTGTTGTTCCACGAGAATGTAACTGCGTGCTCCTATTTGACCATACCTCCTACTGATAGAGGACAAATCTTTGTTTTTAATTTATTTTATTGTTAATTACTTAAGATGTCATGTGGAACATGGTGTAATGGTTGCAACTCCTTACAAACGTTGTGTAAAACAAAAAACTTGGCGATTAAAAAGAGTGACGGAGAGTTTATTGCCATTATTCTTCCGTTCTACGCCCTTGATTTGAGAACTGGCAGTAAATGTAAAATTAGAAGCATTTAATGTATATTTCTTTTTTGACGTTCAAAAGTATACATTGTGTTACCTATATGAATAAATGATTTTGACTTTGACTAAAGACGGAAAATATAATTGTAGTCATAGATCAGACAATGATAAGTACAATTATTCATATGTCGAGTGTTTCATATTTTAATAGTGCCTTCAAGATTTCTTAATAGTTTAATTGCTTGTTCTGTAATGTAATGAAATTTTGCTTTTACCATATTCTGACCTATGGCCATAGATATAATTAATTACTAACTCCTAGTATTGGTATGTTATCTAAAGCTGGCGGCTTCAACACATTTAGACTTTGTGCTTGTGTAGTGTCTGTGAATAAGCGCGAGGCGTTATGTCAAACTGAATATGCATCATGAAAAGACTGTCCGTCTCTCTCGCGCTCGGTCAAGCTTATGAGTATAAAAGAGACAGTTATTGTTTTGCTTTTGCTACTGTTTATGTTGATCTTTACTGTACACGTTGATCTTTTTTCTCATTATTATTTTGTCTGTGATTGTTTACTTGTTTGGTTGGAGGTTAGAATACTTTGAAAAAAATGTCTTATGAAACATATTCCGTCTAAACATTACTTACCAGGACAATCTCGTGAAATGGTGTACAATGTTTTTAATTATTTTAAGCATCTTAATAAAAACAGTTTAATGAAAAAATTTAATTTTTAATTTGACATCAGATGCGACTGGGGTTTCTAAGAGGAGTATTGAAAGAATTGTTAGTGAAGTAAAAGTGAAGTGTATTGAGCTAGATGGAGCTTATGTCGAAAAATGAAAAATTATTTACACAAACTACTCTTTTACGTTCTTGGTCGGGCTTAGAACTTTTGGATCCACCCTCGTATGCACATAATATTTATATGTATTTGACACATTTTTATTTATTTACAACCCACCCAACCTTACTAAAACCAGAGTAGACTAAAATATATAGCTTGGCAAAAAAGTCATATTTTTAAACATACTGTATAGTGAAATTGCACTAGTGTGAGTACTGTGAACGCGCCAGCTTTCGATAACCGACCTAGTACTTGTCTGTATTAAATCTTTATCATTTAATGTTCGCTATCAACATTTCTGAGTGGCTCCTTCATAGAAGTAGTATTTGCTTAGCTAAGTTATAAGTAAGTTTACTTATTTTTAGTTAACTAAGCACCAGCCGAGTTCGTATGAATAAAAATAAAAGTGCGTGCGTACAAATTACACGTATCAGAAGTGAAACTTCTTTGGCAAACTAATCTTTAGGTCTTGTTCATATTTATAGAAATCTAAAAATTAGATTTTCGAGACTTAGAGGGAGGGAAAAAGGAAGATATGCTAGGAATTTAACGAATTTAACTATCATTAAAATATTAAGTATCGAAAATTAATACAAATAGTGGCATTTTAATTTACAATTCGTCATTTGAGATTTCAATAAATTATTTTGCATAAAGTATAAAATACTAATACTTCAAAAATTCTCTTAACGAAATTTTAATTTTAAAAAAGAATTTCTATAAGGTAATTCGCCCTTCTCACTCTCTGTCAGTAGGTCTCAATCGCTCTCTCCATTTTCTTCGACAAAAACGCTGCACAAATTCGTGACGTTTTCGTAAAAATTTACCCACATGCGCCCAAAGAAGTTTCACTTAAAAAATATGTAAATTACTAAAATCCGTGACACAAGAATAAATATAATCAATAATTGTTTTAATGTTTTCAGTGTGGGCGGCTTACTTGGACCGGCGAAACGTGAGCAATGGCTACAATTACGCGCAGAGCTGGAGCAGGGCACGGACAACTGGTTGACGTTGGCCTGCAAATGTCTTAATATGATCAATTCTAGGTTTGTTATTGTAATACTATAGGATTAAAACGTTATTTATTAATTATTGAACTTGTTCATTTCACATGATTTTAAAGCAAAATTTTATTTGGTCTATTATTCGCGATAAATAAATTATTTTCTAGTTTTAGTGTTAAAAATACAACTATAAGGTGCCAATTTAAAATAAAAAAATCAGTGGCACTACAACCTCTAGGGTCTGGGCCTCCGATTTCTGAATCTGTTTCATTATCATTTTGTTTATCTAATAGGCAAGTAGGTGATCAGCCTCCAGTGCCTGACACACACCGTCGACTTTTTGGGTCTAAAGCTTTCCTCACGTTGTTTTCCTTCACCGTTCGAGCGAATGTTAAATGCGCACATAGAAAGAAAATCCATTGGTGCACAGTCGGGGATCGAACCTACGACCTCTGGGATGAGAGTCGCACGCTGAAGCCACTAGGCCAACACTCTTCAAATTCAATATATTTAATCCAATTTAAAATAAAATCCTGTTTAGTTTTTATAATACCAAAAAAAAGTAAATTTTCTAATGTAATTTTTCTATTACAGAGAAAATTGCGTAAATGTATTGGTGACGACCACGCAACTGGTACCAGCGTTAGCCAAGGTGTTGCTGTTCGGTCTCGGAGGAGTGTTCCCAATCGAAAATATATATTCCGCTACCAAAACAGGTAAGATCTTAATTCCTTATAAGTGAGAATGGTCTACCGCAGTTCTCGACTCCCGTGTGGGGCCAAAATTTTTAATATCACCCAGTGGGTAATATGCAATTTAAATAATGCATGGAAGTATTTAACTTCATAGATTTCGTATAGGTAAAAAAAACAAATAATTAATAATTGTTAATATAATTATAACTAATAATAATTAATAATTAGTAATAATAATTTTCATACAAATTCTACCTAAGGATTCCTGGTATTTAAAAAAAAAGTGCGTGCGTACAAAGTAAACTTTAGATTTCCGAGACTTAGGAGGGGAAAAAAGATATGTTAGGAATTTAATGAATTCAATTGTCATTAACGCCTTTAGTACACCTACGCGTTCGTATGCGGCTGCGAGTCTTTGCGAAATAATTGCGGTAGCGAAATATCTGCGGAACGTTAGTACACTGCAGTTTTTCGCAAGGAAATGTCATTGTAGCTTTATTTCTTACCATCTATCCCCGTCTTTTCTTGAATCCTCCATGCCACCTCTTTTTTGTATGCATTTTGTAATTAACATGCCAAACTAAATATAATTCGGGATAATTTCGAATCAAATTTAATAATAATTCAATATTTTCGGCTTCTATTGTGCGAAATTCTGTCCTCATTGACAGAACGCGTGGTGACGCATTGCGATGCGAAACTCGCAGTTACTGTTGCGAAACACTACCGACAAGGACGCAACTATTTCATCTAGCCATATAATAGAGGCGAGACAAAACACATGCGAAACATTGCCATACAACTTACAGTTTTTTCGTCGTTTCGCTGCCGCATGCGATTGCGTAGGTGTACTAAAGGCGTAAAATAGTGTAGAAAATTAATTCAAATTATAAATGAAATTTTTTTAAATTTATTTCTTCGATAATAAAAACACGTGGCATTTTAATTTACTGTTCGTCATTTGAGATTTAAAATACTACTAATTATTTCATAAATTCTCTTTACGAAATTTTAATTTGAAAAAATAGAATTCCTATAAGGTAATTCGCCCTTCTCACTCTCTCTCTCAATTGGTCTCAATCGCTGTCTCCCTTTTCTTCGACAAAAACGCTGCACATCTTCGTGACGTTTCATCCGTAAAAAAATTACCCTCAAGTGCCTAAAGAAGTTTCACTTCAAAAATAAAAATATTTTTCCAGGCAAGGAAACATGCTTCGAGAAAATCAAGCAGCGTTTTGGAGAGAGGTGTACCTATGTCGTGATAGGAGATGGACAAGACGAAGAGGCTGCGGCTAAAGCTAAGAATTATCCGTTTTGGCGGATATCCGGACACTCGGACATAGCGGCTCTATACAACGCATTGGATATGGGCTTCTTATGATCTGCTGTTACCCTGGTACATGGAATTTTGTATATAAACACTATCCTGCCGTGAATTCGATTTTTGAGTATTATTTTGATGTGGACAAAGAACTCAGATTTATTTAGGATAATTTTGTGGTGGTCCTCGCATTCCCCCGCGGCTTTACTTTGGACGGAGACTTCTTATCTTGTTCTGATAACCTGGTATTTCAGTACAAGTTGTTTGAAAATCTAAATTTTCTACTTTTGAGCGTTATTTATTTAATTTACACGCAATGGATAAATTACTCAGTGGAATTTCAGGGATTTTATAAATTAATATAGAAAACAAAGAAATCGTAAAAAATATTATGATAATTCCGACTCTGTAATGATTTTTAAGGTCATTTTGGCCTAAAGTTAGCAAATAGGTTTCCTAACTTTCGTATTTACCTTACCTTATCTCTGAACATATTTTTATTCTAGACTCGCAATATGAACTCTGACAATAGTATGAATAAGTTTACAATTAATTTTTAGAGCCAAGTTCATCGAGCTAACGACCCGTTTTTGAAAGCGGACCGTTAAATTAACGATCAAAAGTTTTATTTATTGTCATTCAAGTGGCTTTGACTAATCGATGTTGAAACATATCTTAAAGTACATAATTATTAATTCATTTCGACTTGCGGAGCTGGGGTCAATGGCGATTAAAAAACCTCGGTTTTAAAATATTTTTGATTAAGAAAATTCTCGATTCAATATGTAACAAAAATCGTGTTCAAAAGTTTCATTTCAAAATTAAAACGCACACAAATATAACAATACTCCAGCGACTTCTTACGTCCTGGTAACTTATCCAATTTAAACATATCTCTTTGTATCGTTAAAGCTTTCAACAACTCGTAATAAGTACGAGCCGTATTCGTAAGCCAAGTATTAATTATTATTAGAACATATATAAAAATATATTTGTTACATATTGTATTCCACCGGCTCCCACATTGAAAGCTCAAACGCAGCTCAAAGTCCTTTTGTAAATAGATGTAGATTCTCTAGGTAACCATTCCTAAGTTTTTATATAAGTATATGTACAGAATTATTTTTAGTGAAACTTTTTAGAGAATTATATTCTGTGGGCCGCCGCTTTTATTATTTATCAGCACAAGATTTTCTACACTTGATTTTTTATCCGATGTTAAAGATCCCGTCATAAACCTAGTCTGATAAATCTGAAAGTTTTACGGACAGTTTTAAACGATTGTTATAAATTTTAAACCATATTTTTGTGTTCACTTTTAAGCCCTTGAATTCATCCGCCATTTTGAATTACGCTAGTCGTATAATATTTATCAAACATGGGATTTTTGTGACGGAATCTTTTAATATGTGCTAAACTACCCAAATTCTGTATCTATAAGTACGAACCATTAACCCCCTTTTTTATAAAAAAATATCTGTTTTATAAGTGAACTAATCTCTTTTTATCACACCTTATTGGATTTAAAGAGAGAATCTACATTACTTTAGTAAAACAGCATTTTTTATGAATAATGGGGTTATTTTGTAGACATATGAGCACAATATTTTTATCGCAATAGGATAACACTGGCTGAAAAATTTAACAGATTTCAAAAGAAAGTTAATAGACTACAAAATATATTTTAATTGTAAAAACAGTACAATTTATTTTCCGGTCTTGTATGATTTTGGCTGATACGATTCTAGCAATATTCGTAATGTTTTAGTAAATTTTATTATAAATGTAAATACAATTATGCGTAATTATACTGAAATCGTTACAGAATTATTCAAATGTGAATAAATATATTATTTCATATTTATACTGGTTTTTATTTTAGTGTTAACTGACTGTCATCAAATTCATCATTATCATCAGTATCAATACACAGCCCCTTGTGAGACTCATCAAGTATATTATGCTATCGCAATCTAGTGCTTCTTGCGTCCAACTTCGAAATCTTATTGTTTCGAGGTCCTTGACAACTCCATCCCACCAACGAAACTTTGGTCTACCGGGTTTTCTCTTGCCACCAAGTTTTGAGTTCAGTAAGGATCTTGGGGTTCTGTCGTCCGCCATTCGATGCGCATGTCCCAACCATTTGAATGAGCCTGTTTCATTTTATCAATAGGACGATGTTGGCATAGTCTAGGATGTTATAAAGTTCTTCATTGTAGCGAATACGCCAAACACCGTCGTCGCCAACAGGGCCAAAGATTCTTAGAAGAATCTTCCTTACCTCACTTCCTTTTGTCACCTTATTTAATTTTTATTAATTTATTTATAAGTCCAAAAAAACATGTAAGCTTAAAATATACAAGAAAATATGACTTCAAATTTTACAAACATACAACATAACAATTACAAGCGAAAAAAATCTCCCCTTACCAGAAGGGAAGATTTTTTTACCTTACCTTATAAGAAGCAAATGTCTACAAAAACTTAAAGCTTTTTAGCTACAACAACTACTGCTCATTAGATATTACGGTAAAATACGTTAGGACTTAGGACCATTGTTTTTTTTTATTACACGAATGACAAGTCTCTAATAGAGTACAAATTTGACATAAGATGAAATTAACATAAAGGTCAGTACTCACATACGGTATTACCTACTCGATAGTTTTACTCGAAGTCGAGTAAAAATCAACGTGTTTTTAAGAGAAATGGATTTCCAAAAGCGCTATAGAAGACTTTATTAACACATATAGACAGTGTGAGCGTTTATGGAATGTCGAGTCCAAAGATTATTCCCACAAAAATAAGAGAAATGAATGTTATGATAAATTACTAGCTGTGCTTAACGTTTTTGAAGTTATACTTCTTTAGGCGCGTTATGAAAAATTGATGAGAGTGAAATTTTACGATGCGCGCGCACCTGAGACGGAAAGTTGTCAGTGTGACTATAGCGTGCGCGAGCGAGATGGGAATAAGACAATCTACAAGTAAAAAGAAATAGAATATGCGTGAAGTTAGCAGCTATGCCAAGAATTTTGAATGACCATAATGACATTTACCTTTTAAACAAATAAAGGAGTTTTAATTAATTTTTCAAAGAAATTTAGCAATGCATTTTCACAAAGACCTATTGTTACTTAGTTAAAAGGTTATGAAACATACCAAGTTATTAAATTGAATGAATAATATAATAAAATAATAAATAATAATAATAATTGTTATTAAAATTAATTAATAATTGAATAATATACTAAATATTATTAAATTGTTTACGTTAAATATTAATTAATTATATTTTGAAAAAATAAAGAAAGCCAAAGAAGTATAACTTCCTACGCGCGTACACGCACCCTTTTTTTCTTTTCATTTTCTTTGATTTTCTTATAAAGCACTGTAAGACTTGCTAAATACAGCCACGGTCTCCTTTGTTGCACAGACATCCTTTGGCTCGAACGCGGGTTCGGTGAATACTGAACGGCGCGCCTCATTCGATAGATCAATGCTCAATGTGTGGACGAAATGGCCCATGACCCATGCCATGGGTTTTACTCGACAGTTTAGCTCGATCGAGTAATACCGTATGTGAGTACTGACCTTTAGAATGATAAAAGTAGACAGAAGAAAAATATAAATTAACTTTTATTAGACAGTTGAATCTGTGTTCCTAGTAATAATAAATTACATATCTCTTGACAAACATATTATTTCTATATGATAACGGTTGTGTTGCCATACAAAAATATTCCCCACATACAACAGCAATTTGTTACCCGTTGCTTAGCAACCAATTCTAACAACTATCAACACAAATATTTTAAAATAATAAAATGAAGTCCATCATAAATACAATACTATTTGATGTGTCTAAAAATGAGATGTTTAAAATTAATGAGAACTTTAAAATGTTACATCGAAAGTTGAAGACAACATGGAAAGTTATGATGTAAGTACAGTTTTGCAGGAAATACTACTTTCTTTACTACGTATATCCTATTTTCATAGCTTCCATCCATCTATGTTATCCTGGTAAAGATTGCGATTGTCGACTCAGGTTGTGCGTTTAAATCCCGACTGTGTGGTACACAAGAAGCAAGATAGCCTGTAATATTGTATCTTAAGGTTCCGTGTGACGTGAGGTCAGAAACCATAATATGTGGAGCTCCACATTCTATCTGAGGGGACGAGTCAGCATAACTCAACACGTGTTATTTATTGTCTACCCTATATACAAGTTAAACAAAAGTATTATATAACATAATAACATTAAACAAAAGTATTATATAGTATTGTCTTTGATTAACATAACCTTTACACATTTAAAGAAAAAACTTTTTACCGGATTAAAGTTATGTATTATTATTTAAGTTGGATGTCAAAAAGTATCACAGCTGTAGAGAAAGTTGGATAAATTTAAAATTATGTTAAATAATTGTAAATTTATAATAATACATAACTTTAATCCGGTAAAAAGTTTTTTCTTTAAAAGTATTATAACTTAATTTTTAGAAACCGTGAAGAACTTTCGCCTTCAATACTCCAAGACGTCAAAATACTTGTCGTACCAGGACCTCAGAACGTCTTCAATGATGATGAGTTAGCAGCGCTTAAAAGTATCGTGGAGAGGGGGGATTCCGTGCTAGTCCTCATGACTGATGGAGGAGAGGAAAGAATGAATACTAATATCAATTTCTTTCTAGAAGAGTATGGAATCGTTGTGAATAATGGTACTGTTTTGTTATCCCAGAACAAAGACTGATAAATTGTGGTATCAATCTTGATCCCTTGAGAATACCGGTAGTAATTTCCTATACCCTACCTTCTTCTTATAGACTGTTTGCTTATGTAAATGCTGTTTCTTAGGGCTTGTATCACACGGCGTATACTTCTAAACGTAACCTAGATATTCAGTTTGATTCTCTTCAAAACAGTAATTGTTTCGGGCACGCACAGAAATGTGTGTTTGCACAGGGTTTTAGGGCTTCAAAATGTGTGTTTCCAGTGACTTCATAAATGCTAAATGTCAATTGTATTAAATGAAAAACAAAATAGTTAAAAAGTTTCACCAGAATTTGAAAAAATTGTAATTTAAAAAGTCGTTTATTTATCCTACAACATACAATACTAATACATAATACTTCCAGATTGCGTGGTACGCGCGAAGTACCACAAGTTCTACCATCCAAAAGAATGTCATATCTCAAACGGTATTCTAAACAGAGCAATTACGAAATTCATTATGAAAATGCCAAACTACACAAGTGAATCTGATGATTTTCTGTGAGTATTAATTATCATAATATATTCCTTACTTATGATTCCAAGGTTCCAACCACAATTTTTCTTGAAAGTCGTGAATCTAGGCCCAAGAACGTATAAACTAGTCTAGCAGCCTACCTCACAATTCATACTTGCCTAGTGTATTACTCTATACACAATTGTGTGAGACGTTTTATGTGTCAAATAACATCAGTATTTGTGTGTGTGTGTGTGTCTTTTCATATTCTTCTATTCACATCCTACACCATTTCATATCGCTCGCGTATCTCACAACTCAAATTTTCTAGTTAAACGGCAGACCCTCACAATTCATACGTGCCTAGTATTTTAATCTAGTAAGTCTGCACAATTGTGTGAGATATATGGTCAGATGACATCTGTGTGTGTGTGTGTGTGTTATCGTATTCTTCTAATCACATCCTTCTCCATTTCATATCGCTCGTATCTCAAAATTGGTATTTTCCAGTGAAGATCCCCCAGCACCAAACTTTATTTACCCCTATGGTGCAACGGTTACAGTTAAAAAGCCAGCTGTAGCAATTCTGTCCAGCAGTGATGTATGCTATCCTGTCAAAAGACCGGTTGCAGCTTTATACACTTCGGAGAAGACAGGAGGTATTCATTTATTGAAACGATAAATTAGATATTGCAGATTAAGCTAGTCTAAGATATTTTGACGTGAAAAACTTTAAAATTGTTTCCAAAATGGGTGGAAAAAAGCGTCTTTTTATATTATTCAAAGGCTGGCAACGCATCCGCGAGATTTATCATTAAATTAAACTTCAATCCCACACATCCGGTGTAACACAAACCTAACATTTATGTCAAATCAGAATCGAATACGGTCACAAAAATATTTATTTCGAAGCAAGTCTTTACAACAACTTGCCTCCTGAGATACGGGAAATAGCGAACGAACGCGGCGTGATATACTTTTTACTTTGTATGAGATAACCTTCTTATAAGCTATAGCTAAATATATTTTATACAGGTAAGCTTTTCGTGATGGGTTCAGGTCATTTCTTCACGGATCAGTATTTGGACTGTGAATGTAACGATCTCATTCGTGAGTTAATATTCAACTACCTCGGAGGAGTAGCTGACTTGCATCTCAACCCAGTCGATGTGGATGATCCTGATGTAAGAATCTCTATTAATTTATGCTCTCCTGGTATGGCCATAATCACAATCATACCAGGAGACTTGTACTCTCAAGTCTCACTCACTCACTCCTTCCTTACTTGTAAAAGTAATTTTGACAGATAAATTTACAATCATTTTTGGTTTACTTAAATCTATTTTGATTTTTTGTGCAATAAATTTTGCTTTACAATCGAAGCCAAATTAGATACAATTTATTTATTAATTTAAATAGGTGTGCCAACGGGCATTAATTACAATAAATGGAAGCTTTTAGGGACAAAAATAACAATAAAAGCTGCTTATTACTTATTGATAACAGAATTCTTAGCAGCTATGAATAAATTATCTCAGACACGAGAGATATAAATGATAAGTTATTGCAAGTTTTTGAATGATGCTCTGCGAAACTATGCAGCAGCGTTAAAACCTAAGACGGTTCTACGAAATGCCAAAATTAATAAAATTACAGAGATGGTTGAAAGTACTGTGCATTTTATGTCGTAATAATTTTAAAAGTATCTTGCTTTTTCATGACACATAGATTTTTGCAGGTAAACGAATACCGTACCTTAGGTGATGTACTGTGGCTCAGTACTTTGCTTTTGCCGGAGCCAGCGAGTTCCCCACCACCACGGCTGACGCCGCTTCATCCTCACGCCCTCTTCACATGGAGACTATTTTCCCTCAATCTCTCGCATTGTAAGTGGTTAGTTAATAGGTGGTGTAGGAGAATATATGTTTCCTGTTTTATTTCAAGATGTAGTTCTCTGTTATAGAAAAAAAGTATCTTAAGCATTAATTAACTAAACCAGGCCAAATGGTTTTTTACTAACATAAATGTTTAAAAATTATTTTTTAAGATTCTTTTATATTAATTATTTTTTACTGAATTGATGAACAGATTTGTTTAACACGGCATATTATTTAACACATACTGTAAAACTATATTATACAATATCTAATATATAAAATTCTCGTGTCACAATGTTCGTTCCCAACTCCTCCGAAACGGCTCGACCGATTCTTATGAAATTATGAACATGAGATTTTTATGCATATTCAGTAAGTCTGAGAATTAGCTACTATCTATATTTCAAACACCTAAGTGAAGGGGTGTCCACCCAAAAAAAAAATTTTTTTAGTCAACATTTTTTGTTTATTATTCTTTATGATACAGCATACAAAAATACATACAACCCTTAATTTTCACCCCTCTACCATTAACCCCTATTTTTTATTATAGTAGATATTTTTATTGAACTAAAAAAATGTTTCTTAGAAATTTAATAATATACATACATGGCAAAACAACGTTTGCCGGGTCAGCTAGTATTTATATACATACATATAGATATAGTGTATATTGACTAATTTTCCTTATTCCAGTACCCGAAGTACTAGGACTATATGAGGAGTTAGGAGTGAAACATGAACCTCTTCGGCTGATCGCACCGCAGTTTGAAACGCCATTTCCACCTTTACAATTAGCCGTAAGCGGAAAATCTTGACATTACTTATTCAGATAAATATATTTTACTGGTTCATCGCATGAATATGTGTGTAGTCACACAACGACTTTTGTTTTTATTTATTTCGACGCTCCACTATTAGGACATTAATGTGAATGTATTTGCAAGAAAATTTAAAATGAAGATTTTTTAGGTATTCGCTCCGACGTTTCGAGAGCCACCTCCACCACCATTGGAGCTATTTGACCTCGACGAAGCCTTTTCTTCAGAGAAGTCGCAACTTGCAAGACTTGCAAACAAGTGTCTGCAACCAAATAGCAATAGAATGGCACAAGGTATCGAGTTCACACATTTACACTTTCAGTCGGCTTCTACTCTCCTGGTACGCTGTACCCACTTCGCTGGGCGTCAAAAGTGTGATAAATCCTTTTATTTTGTTAATTTGATAATAAAAATAACGCTGCAGCTATTTTAGATTATACCTGCAGCTTGAAACTCTTGAACTCATCGGACGTCGAGGCAGAATACGAAATTCCACCCGTATCACCTCGACGTCCGTCTTTCCACAACTGAGCGTTTTTAATGCAGATTTTACCGTGCACCACTAAGTGGAACCAGCTTTCCACTGAAGTATTTCCGAACAAATTCGACTTAGGGTCCTTCAAGAATAGAGCATACCAAATCTTAAAAAGCCGGCAACGCACTCGCGAGCTTTTTGGCATTGAGTGTCCATAGGCGGCGGTATCAAAAAATCCTTGTGTTTTTTTACAGGTGATGGACAACTAGAAAATGAACTAGAATACTTCATACGAGAGTGTGGACGTGCTGTGCGATTGACGAAGTCCCAGAACCAAGGAGCAAAACAAGTGCTGCACCAACTTGGCTTACAACTAGCAACATTTAAGAAAATTGCACCTAAAGATTAAGATTAAAATATTATTCAAATTAACGTTTTATTTTACACGTTTTATACTCCTGCATGGAATAGACAATTTTAAGTCTCTGGTCATGAGATTTTATCTGTGTTAAAAAAAAATATATAGAGCAGTGTTAGCCTAGGGGCTTCAGCGTGCAACTCTCATACCTGAGGTCGTAGGTTCGATCCCCGGCTGTGCACCAATGGACTTTGTTTCTATGTGCGCTTTAAACATTTGCTCTAACGGTGAAGAAAAATCGTGAGGAAACCCACATGTCTTAGACCCAAAAGTCGACGGCGTGTGTCAGGCACTGGAGGCCGATTGCCTACTTGCCTATTAGATTTAAATGATCACAGATTCAGAAAACTGAGGCCAAGACCCAAAGAGTTGTAGAGCCACTGATTAATTTATTTTTTTATTATTTTAATATAAGTAATAAAATAATAACATAAATTTAATGTAAAACTTATAGTACTCGAATAAAGGCCATTTTTTTATATTTTATAGATGCACGTACAAAGTCATGGAGATTGGAGATATTTTAGTGGTAGAGTGAAATATCAAATGGAAAAGTTATCGCTCAATTTCAGTCAACTATAGAAAAACAATAAAATGATCATAAAATATCAGAAGTTAACTGGAACTTAGTTATTCCAGCCATGAAGATTGCAATTGTATTTCTTATTTATTTTATAATTTGTGTTGTTTGTGATTTCGACGATTCTACTAAGAAACTACCAAAAATAAATAGAGGTGTACGAATTTTTAATCCTAAAAAATTCTCTAAAATTAAATATTTACAACGAGGAGTCGAAAGACGCGATAATATAGAAACCAAGAAAACATACACAGTATTTTCACCAATTTCCGTTGTGAAGGAGAATGTTCCTGATAGTCCATATTTTAACCCAGAAATCAACGTGGGCGTGAAACCAAGAGTAAAGAAAATCTTACACGAACACGACGCCCATTTTATTCATAAACGATCCGCTGACGCAAGAAAGAGAGGCATTGCTCTTGACATAGCTAACACAACAGTAGCCAAGGGAGCAAACGACCCAAATCCAGCTAAAGCCAAAGACGTACATCCAAAGAGACAATCTAAAATCCATCCTAAATCTGGTCAAAGATCTCACAAACACCACAAGAGTCATCACAGATCGCAAAAAAGAAACAGGCATGTAGATAAACATTCAAAATCGGGATTAAAACGCACCAATAAGAGAAACAAAAAAAACGCAAGAAGTAAAGTTAGACAAAATAAAAACGTGAGGCACGGCAAAGGTAATTAAACAATAAATGTGAAAATGTTGTATTTTTAATCAACCAAAATATTATTTACAATGGATTTGGTATTTTTCTTTAAAACTTATACTTTATATCGAAACATTTAAGTTGTTTTCGTGAAATTTAAGTAGCCTTGTACCACGTCCACAGATAAACATCTTCTCTGTGCGTTTATATTATTCGATACAGTCCAGACAGCCAACTCTAGTATGAAAAAATAAGTGTAAACCCTTAATGAATTAGGGTATGACAAGAGAAAATTCTAAATATAAATAATATGATATGGCATTTCAAATCTTGTCGATTAAAAAATTTATAAGGACAAAACTGAAAGTTCTCTCTTGAGACATAAAACCTTAGTGGAAACTTCTCGAAGTTTTTAGAAAAAGGAATACTTTTTGATTTCGTATTGATACCTAGACTAGTGAGCATTTCACTCTCCGATAAATAAAATCGCATCAATGATATACCAAGTAGAATCTTTAAATTAAAATGGCGGCTGTCCGAATTTGGCTGCCATTATGTGCTTAAACTCTCACTAATTACTACCACTATCACACACACACACAAACACACACACACACACACACGCAAATACACACACCCTCGATACACCCATATAACTTTATTTCTACTGACTTCTAACTAGTTGACTGTTTTGTATTTCTTTCCTTATTTAAAACGTTAAATTTGTTTGCCTACCTTATTATTATGTACTTTTTGTTACCACTTAATATGACTTTGCTGTGGAATGGAAGCCTGGTTATCCATATCACAGGTTCTTACCTAGTTTGGAAACCAGTCTCCCAAGTTCTCCCAGTTATATGGGAGAAAATAAATAATAATTATTCTTATTAATTTGAATTAATTCAAAGCTAAACACGAACCCGAACGACCTATTATTCGTATTAAAAATCTTACGTAAAAATTTAACATAATTGTTATTATGAGCTCATTTATGTCTAAAACACAACATCAGTTATATATAAACACTTATTAAACATTTCCTTATACTTATAGTCCGAAATCGTCGCTTAATTGCAAGTAGAGATGCCATGATAGAAGATTATCCTTATGTCGTTTCGATCCAGAAAGCAAGAGAGCATTGGTGCTCAGGCGCATTGCTCAATCCACGACTTGTGATAACAACAGCCAATTGTATATGGAAGTGAGTTATGCAAAACTTATTGAAAATAATAATATTATAGCGTTTTAATATCCTTGTGCAATTTGGATTTTATACATTTATATCGTGGTTGATACTTGACGTGGTCACAATACTGGTCATTTCTTGAATTGCAAAACTAAATTGTTTATTGATAGGGATTATTAAGAAGTTTTTACAGAACATATAATATAATTGACATTGGCAATCTCTTTTATGAGAGCAATGTTGGCCTAGTTGCCTCAGCATGCAACTCTTATCCCTGAGGTCGTAGGTTCGATCCCCGGCTGTGCACCAATGGACTTTCTCATATGCGCATCTAACAACTCTAATGGTGAATGAAAACATAGTAAGGAAACCAGCTTGCCTGAGACCCAAAAAGTTGACGGCGTGTGTTCGGTACAGGACGCTATTATATTGACAAGTGATCATGAAAGAGACACAGAAATCTGAGGCCTAGACCTAAAAGGGTTGTAGCGCCTCTGTTTTATTTATTTTTAATCTTTTATATGTAGTTTAAAAATATTAAACCGTGAGCTAAAGATTAAGTTTTTCCTAGATCAAACCGTGTGAGCAGACTTAAGGTCCGAGCTGGCTCCCGCTACATAGACCGGGGAGGTCAGGTAGCCAGGATTCAGGAAGTAATGAAACATCCCTATTGGAGCATCAGGAAAAACCCAGATTACGACATCGGCTTGTTGCTGCTAGACAGGAATATCAGGTAATTGAGTAATTATAGAACTTAGAAAAGCTCTGAAGTTATTTTACCTACCCGTTTGGGCATGGGCAAACATTATACACGTTATTTTGCTTTTTCATACTTGAACACCGATAGTATTTTTAATACATACATATTTGTATTTTTATAAGGGCACAGAATCAAGACCTTTTTTGCTAAGACCCAGTTGGCTATTTTAGAAAATGTGGACATAAGTTAGCAATTATGATAATAATGAATTTGTTATATTATTTGGTAATTGTTACCATATGGTGGTATTTCTATATACATAACAACAACTAATTTTAGTTTTGGTTTTAAATTAGCCTTAGTATCATTCATTAATATAGAAAGACTAGCAAAATTAAATTATGGGATTTGGTTAGCTTAATTACTCAATAATTAATTAACAAGGAAGTTTCACTTCTGACATGTACTTTGTGCCTATCAGGCACGCGATCAGTGGCTGGCAGCACGGGAGTGTCAAATCTGCCCTTTTCTACAAAGGGTTTTATTTGCGTAAAAGGGTATATATGTCACCGTAAAATTGTAAACACCGTTAGATTGTAATTTATCTCGCGAGATTGTAAACTGTCGAAAGATTGTGAACCTCAACGAACTGCTTACAATTTAACGTATTATTATTCGGTAGATTGTAATCTATCGAAGTGAAACCGTCAAATTGTGAAACGGCCATTTTCTACTTTTCTATTGGTTATAAGAGATGTGACCTTCTCGTTTTCTATTGGTTATAAGAGATATGACATTCTCGTTTTCTATTGGTTATAAGTGATGTGACATTTTCGGTCAATTAATCCAATAGATTATTTCCTCATTTGTTAATTTTAAAGTTGAGCCTAATCGAATCGATTATTTCCTCATTTGTTAATTTTAAAATTAAACCTATATTAACCATTACTTGTCAAATGTACATACATTACATTAACTTCATGTTTCAATTAGTGTGGGGTTCCGAAAATTTTGAAATTACGTTAAATACGTTAAATTGTAAGCAGTACGCTTAGTTCACAATCTTTCGACAGTTTATAATCTCGCGAGATAGATTACAATCTAACGGTGTTTACAATTTTACGTTAACATATATAACGATTAACGTTGCCGGACCCGGGCGATAACTGTTCCGGAAATATCCTCATGATATTTTGATATTTGTGTGACCAACTACCTATAGCTATTTGCCCAGTATCAGTAGGATTGTATTCATCAAAGATTTAATTTGAGTTTTTCTTATAGAGTTAGTTTTAGTAGCGTAACATCTTGCCTATGGAAGCAACAAGTATTTTAATTCATTAATATGCAATATTACATAAGCGAATTTACTGCAATTTATCCCCCCTTCCTCTTGTCAGCAAAAGTACGCAAAGCTCTGAAAAATAATAGTACATAAACTCATTAATTTGAAAATGCATTTCGTTTTCAAGCATAGGTAATAATATGTAAAAAAGTAAATAATTACTGTTGACGTAATCACCAAATAAGAAAATCAAAGGGAACCCCCCCTTCCCCCTTTAGTGATTACGTAATACTTGAACGGCAAACATTTTTCTTACTGTTATAATTCTGTTTGTCAATTAGGTTTTCAGATAAAACACACGCGGTGGATCTTCCAAATATTGCTATGTACCCGCCTTTTGAAGACGCCTGGGTGACGAGTTGGGGCGCAGAAAGAGTAAGGAACCTCTCTTTTATATTCAGTTTTTTGAATCGGTGCCAAGGATTCCACATCAGCGCTGCGGAAATTAAGAGGAAAACATTCAATTTGTATACGAAAACGTTGATAGAGGTATCGCAATCCCTAAAGAACGTTCCAGAGTTAGTCTGAAAAAATTATGTTACTAACGCTTAAATGGTCTATCGTCTGCTAAAGTTTATTATTTTGCGACGGCGAATGCTAAAGTTAGGGGCCTCATAGCCTAGCGGTCTTATTAAGTGGCAGCTAGGTGAGGGGTACCGGGTTCGATTCCCGGTTCGAGGGCAAGTTTTAATTTAATTTAAATTTGTTCTCGGCCTTTGGGAGGGTTGTGCGGTACCGGGCGAGTGCTTAAACCGTACATGGAGGACACGGTCGAATTTCTAAAGACAAAGCACGAATTATAAAAAACCCTATACTTGACACTGGCTAATGCACAAATTGTGCCAGAGCCATAAAAAAAAATGCTAAAGTTGTTAATACCAAGGGCGAGAACCCGTCTGTTGCACAGATCCTCGTAAACAAAGACGTTACACCTACTAAATGCTGTCTCCGACATATTTAAATGTTTGCAGAGTGAGTTCACAGTAGCGATATTGTGTATATTACGTGTTTAATATTATATTTTATTTTTCTCGACATTATCATAGCATAATCTGTAATGTATGTATTCCAATAAATAAATTTCAGCGTGATGGAGTATTCGAGAACAAAGGCATGGCTCTCCAAGTGTACCACGCTCGTTTGATGGACAAAGACAAATGCAACAATGTAACACAGCGTTTCGGAGTGGCCGTATCGAATAATTTCATTTGCCTCTCGCAAATGGGCAGAAGGGCGCCTTGTACTGTTAGTATGGAGAGAAATATTTGTTTTAATGACTCTGATTACTATATATATTGATCAAAATCAAAGGTCCCGGCTGAATTCAATGTATCATGTTCTTAATAACAACGTCATCGGCTTTTACGACTGTCGGTTTTTACGACCAAATATGAGTAGTCCCTTCGATGTCGTTATAACAGATTTTGACTGTATTTTATATTCCATCTTTGGTTATGTCTTTAGTATAATTGTGTTTTGTTATATATAATTTATGTTAGCTGCAAGATTACGAAATAAATAAGAAGTAGAAAATATACACACGACCTGCTTCAACAACGCAATAACAATTATAATAAAATGTTTTAGCGTGACACTGGAGCTCCAGCAGTAAGCGATGGTATACTCTGGGGGCTGGCTTCTTGGGGTCTCCGAAAGTTGTAAGTGGAATAAAAACTCAATGTAACAACTGGTTTGAGTATTGGCGAATTTGTTTTTGGATTGGTAGATAGTATTTCCATCATGGGATATGGGAAATGCTTTTTTTAATAAAGATCCGGGTTTGGATTATAAAAAAATGTATTTAGGATTCTCAATTTAGGATATAATATAATATATAACTTTAACTTTTTTATATATAACTTTGAGTTTGATATGATTCATATAGGTATATTCACTTATGAACGTCAACAGAAAAGATGTTAATTTAATTCTAATTTACATTTACTACCAGTTCGCAAGTCAAGGGCGTAGAGCGGACAAGAAGAACTGGAAAAAGAAACTCTCCGCCACTCTTTTTATCCCCAAGTTTAGAGTCGTACAAATTGTTTGAACTGGAGCAAATCAATCAAGGATCATTTAAAATCGTCAAATTTATAAAAAATTACGTTTAACGAGTTTGAATTTATTAAGTGTTAATTCTAATTTCGCTTGGGAGTTTGTTGTAAAAACGAATACAATTTCCATATAAGGAGTGGTTTATCTTCTGGAGCCTGGTTGGTCGTACGCTTAGATTAGTTCTGTTTCGAGTATTATACTGGTGAAAGTCACCATTTGTTTTAAAATAGTATCACAGAGCACTAAACACCTGAATTGACGTTTCTTTATTCTTTGTTAATTTCAGATGCGGGACAGAACGGTATCCCGCGATGTTCTCCTACCTCGGATCCAGGTCTAATTTGGACTTTATAACGAATGCCACACACTACCTTATGTCTGACAAACGACATTATGTGTTCATGGATAAATTTGTGTTAAATAAGGCTGATACAACAGAAGCACCTACGACTAACCATTTAGAATATTAAAAACAAACTATTTTGGACTTTTCTTGCTCCTACGAGTTTTGTATAATACAACTAAGGAGTCATCCTATGAACTCCATAGTTCCCTGGGGCTCGGTTTAATGTAATTTTTTAAAGAATAAAATCTAAAGGAATCTTTTTCATCTTTCGATAATGTTTAGTGTTCACTTTGATTGTGAACTCTCAAAAATATATATAATACCGGTTTCTTCAGAAGTATTTTTCATATTTAATTCACTAGGACTATACGAACTTTGTGCTATATACTTTTGTATATATATATATATATATATTGCGAAGCCCTGCTCAATTTTCCATACAATTTATTGCTATTTTAGAACTAGTTTTTGCTGTTTAAAACATTTTGTTATTAAATATTTACGAAGGAAGCCTTTTATACCACAATATTCTTTGAATACTTACATTTAGTTTTAACACTAATTTTAGGTTCCAATTAGTATCAATTCGACTTCAACGTCCAATTCTTAAACTCTCTCATCTGCACGATTACTGACAAATGCGTGCACTGACTTGACAGGTCCACTCAATCTCTGTGGTGCTTTCCTCAAAAGACCATTTCAGACTGCAATCTACATGGTCTTCACATAATCTTGTTATGTCTGGACTTTAAAAGAGACTGTGACCTCTGAGTTTGTTTCGGCGTTTCTTCTCAGAGTAGTCAGATAGGAAACGTCGATCTCATCTAGTTTAAAAAAAAATAAGCTTGACGTGTAAAAGTGTTTGTACTACTTACAGAAAATAAATCATTTATCATTTAAAAGGACGGCAACGCACTTGCGAGCTCTGTGATATGTGATACAATGTATCACATAACGTAAGGTTCCGTTAACCCCATGTTACAATATAAAAAAGGATCTTACGGCATCAATTTTTATGAAGATATTTAAAAAAAAAAGTGTGTGTGTGTCAGCTACGACGCACGATTGGAGTTTACTCCTTACGAACGATAAAATGGCGATAATGTTCTGTGGCTGTCGACCATATTTTCATACTAAAGGTGGTAAGAATATATTTTTTTATAATATAAATGTTTGTAGTAGAAATAAAACGTACCTACATCATCTATGCCCAAATAGGATTTTCTTTCTGTGACCAAAGTTACCTTTATAGTAAGAGAAGAATAAGAATGAACAATCTTTTTAGTTTTAATTTCACTGACCATTACTATTGACAAAACTCTATGGCACGCTAGACAATCTACTTTTATTTTTTACACCTGTCAACACTGACAAAGTTGTAACGTGGCTGTCAAAACGTGAATTCAAAATAGAAAAGTCTGTGTAATGTATTCCATCTCATTCTTTTACACGTTCAATCCTACAGATATATATGTTTGTCTCTTTCTACATAACGCCTCAACTTTTCGTGTTACACTTGATTTTACTCCTCATAAAATTTCCGTACCGTGCCTTATAATTATAACTCAAATCGTTTCTTAAGGAGTAAACTCCAATATTCTCGTGTTCCAAGTCATTTGAGTGACCTAGTATGATTGAGAAATTTAAGAAAAATTGGATTAAATGATCAATTTTACTAATAATTATAATAAAGGTACTAAGATCTTACAATCTTTACACGTATAATGTAGAAATAATCCCATAAAGCACCAAATTATAAAACCAGCTACCATATTTATTTTCGAAGCGTAGTGTTTCATGATTATCAATCTCATAGGCAAGTAGGTGATCAGCCTCCTGTGCCTGACACACACCGTCGAATTTTTGGGTCTAAGGCAACATTTCCTTGCGATGGTTTCCTTCACCGTTTCAGCGAATGTTAAATGCGCACATAGAAAGACCATGCAGTTATGTTGTTGTTATTATAGTTTATGCAGTAGATCGAACCTACGACCTCAGGGATGAGATTTTTCTCTAATTCGATAGGTTTTCTATTTAAAATAAAAAAAAATAATAATTATACGAGCATATTTAATATTTTCTTTTCAAAATTGTAAAACTCACATTTTGAAACTGCAAAATTATAACTAAATCTCAGTAATATTAACAATGATTTTTATTACTCTCAAACTAATCGATAACTCATGTATACATCTCTAATATATAATGTCTAACAAATTCATTTTAACTTTTCACTGTCATTTTCGATTTTGCCAACAATACGCCTATAAACTTTTTTATAACTAATCGTTTTTACAATCAATTTACAATACTACATGTCTCTATGCACCGAACTTTTCGAAAATTATCGGAATTAACGTAAACTACTTAAGGTTAACACGAAAAAGCAAGTCCACATACACACAAAGGTCTATACACGATCGGAATTGTTTTCATTAAAAAAACGAAGAGTACTGTCAAATATGTCAATTTCAAATATGACAGCTCTGGAAAGCTACGTTTGAGTGACGTAGAATACGGTATGAATGGAAATTTAAGAAAAAATTGGATTAAATTATCGAATTTCACTGATTGAAATAAAAAACATTCTTTAGTTAGATTTCGTTCAAGGGATCAATTTTTATGAATATATTTAAAAAATATTCTCGTGTTCAAAGTCATCAATTTGTTAAGCACTGCCAAATATGTCATTTTCAAATATACATGATTTGACATCTCTAAAAAGTTTCACTACCTAGAATGATTGAGAAATTTAAGAAAAATTGGATTAAATGATCAATTTTACTAATAATTATAATAAAAAAGTTAATTCTATATATTTCTATAAAAATAACAAAAACTATTCCCCATTTTACAAGAATAAAACCACACCGTTCATCTGTCTCCTTTCATCACAGAGTAGACACGATGTGAGAGAAAGAGACAAACAGTACTTTAGTTGTTCCGTTCGTGGATAGGCCATTAAGTCAACTCTTTGGCAATTTTAATATTCAAAAGTGGATTTACAATTTCTCAAACTGGCTGTAAGCGTCTTAGCTATTGTGAAAACTGGCAAAGTGTGAAACTATTATACGATTATTTGTAGGTCAGATTTCCATTGACGTATAAAAAGAATTTTCCATCCATTTTCCAATCTTAATGGGCCGAATACCCATTTGCCCCTACGCTGGCCTCAGGTTGAGGCCTCTATGGAAAGTCTCTTGGCCAAGATGTCAGGTGAATTGAAATTATAGGAATCTTAACACCCGAGTCCATGAAACCGTACGTTATTCCCCACGGGATTCCCCATTCCTTTCTACTTTCCCAGGCTTTTGACAGACTCTAACAGTGATATTAGTACCTGTCATGTATTTATTATTCATAAACTCTGATTCATATATAAACATCCAGCAAACTGAATTTTCTGTGGTATATGTCAAAGGAAAATCTATGACCATTTGAACCAGTAGCAACGTAATAAAGCGTTTGTAATTGAATTATTCTATTAAGTACATATTGTGTTAGAAATTAACAAAATCTATTATCCTATATTATTGTAAAGAACTGGCCAAAACATACGTCTTAAAACAATATAAACAGTTATAATATAGCTGTCTCATTCATTGGTATATATTTTGCTTCGCATGAGCGAGACAGCAATATAGTTCGATTCTTGAATATCCTTTGCCCTCACTGGCTGGTTTAAAATAACCGATGTCATATTGGATATCGAACGTTAGAGAAAAATAAATCAGTGGCGCTTCAAGAATTTTGGGTCATTTTTTGTTTTGTTTTTCTTTTTAACTTTTGAATACTCCTGAGCTCATATTCCTGAGCTGTTGACCAGTTGGTCTCAAGATCACACTTTCAAGAATATGAGTCTTAAATTGTCGCTCCAACGTTCAAAATCCAATATTAACAAATAACACAAACTAACAAAAATTAGGCCAAAGACAAAAAATACTTAATATGGAACTTATTTTGTACACCATAAGCCGTAAGTTAATCTTATCTAGTACCTGGCCACGTCTATGGTAACAAGTATACACAAATATAGTACTGAGCAAATAATTATGCAAGGCAACACTTAACGCACAAAATATGGAGTTTTTCCACTTGTTTTAACTTTTCGATAAACTTTAACTTCATCAAAGAATGAAGGCCCGGAATCTAAAACGTCACACGATAAAATCTAGTTTTAGCAGCTGTCAAACCTTTTCGAAGTTTGACGCATTTTTTTGTTTCAATAAAACAATAGCAATAGGTTTTTTTAGGATCACATAGGACATTAAAATGACTATAGATGTTTATAGTCTACAAGAAGGTAGAATAAAGGAAATTTATTATCTGTGGACAAATCAACAAAAAATGTATAAGTGTTGCCGCGCCAAAGACATTTTGGATGGAGCAATCTTGACAGTAAATGAAAAACTTATAAGAATATATTAATCGAATATAAATACAACTAGAGAACTATAAATATAATACAAAACAACAAATAAATTCGTGCTCCTTACACCTAGAATGCCATAAATTGTAAACTCTGCTATACTCTATGCCATGTATCGAAAGGTTTGAGTGGAGGTAATCAGCCAATTTGTCCTAAACTAACGCACCAGGCAAGAAATCCAAATTTCCTTACGCTAAAAACTCCCTGATTTTTTCTTAATTCTAAATATACACAAAATAATTTTGTACTCTTCGAAACGAGTTTTAAATGGCAACACTTTATGGCAACTTCTTCGCCAGATGGACTAGGGCATAGACAAAAATACTTTGCAATGAGTGACTATAGAAAAGGTCACGTGAGGCCACTATACATTTTATAGCGTAAAGTATTTTTTGTCTAAGCTCCTTGTAACTCGTAATCCTAATAGTCAAATTGATAAACTTTCAGATAGTAGCAAGGTTGGTAGCATTGAAATATTTAAAAGCGTAGCAATCCTTATTACAATTAATTGTGACCTTCAGGTCACGCGTAGGACGAGATATTTTATGAGGTACTTCACCGAAAACATTTATACAATACTTTAATGAGTCAAATGTCAAACGAAATTGTCAAGTTCCATAAAATGAGGTTCTGTGCCAAGGAGGCTATATGACGTTTGCGTTTAACACTATTAAACAAATCCCGTTTAATCTTTCCAAGTGTTCCAAAATCGAATTTAAAAATTCAAATTGTATTCGGAATATCTTTGTTTTGAATTTTTGTCTATACTTTATAACTCGAGAATATAAAACTGGCACCTGTCAGCTGTCGAATTGACAAGTTCAAAAGTACCCGAATTTGAATCCGAGGTAATTCGACATTCCCTAGGGCTGGTTCAAAAGTAGAGTTTCCAGCTCGTCAGCAGATCGGAGCAGGAATGCTGCAGACTCACGGTATCCGGTGATCAATTGTCGAACGGCGCCGACTTCGGAACCAGAGAGTTTGTGAGACAATAGAGATTTTTGTGAGCTGGTTCCTGTTATAGATGGCGTGGATGAGGAATGGAGAGTTGTAGTCGATGTCTTGAGTGACAGATCTGTTGGAGCTGCAAATAAAGATAGATTTGTTGATAATTATGGCCAGACTATAATCAATAAAAAAAATAACATTACAGAGGGGAAGGGACACGTTTTTTCGGAAATAAATTTCCAAAAATACAAGATCCTTCAACTAATCATACAAGGCAAAGTAGGAGGTAAGAGAGATTAAGTTATTGTTTAGAAGCGCGGCATCCAAAATTCAACTAGCCACAATGATCGGCAACCTTCGCAAGGAGATGGCACAATAAGAAGAAGAGGGGAAGGGGGTGTCATTTTTTTAAAAGGCCGGCAACGTACTTGCGAGCCTTCTGTCAATGTGAGTGTCGACAGGCGGCGGTATTACTTATCATCATATGAGCCTGCCCGTTTGACACATTTAAAAAACGCATCATGACTCTAATGTTGCCATATTTATACTTTAGGAATGGAACCTAGCTGTTGCCCTTAAGGGCCTTTACAGCTCAGCTCGGGCTGCTTTTGTTAACTCGACCGGAATGGGCTTTTTCCATAAGCACAAGGGCTTCCTGCGATACTTGTACTTCGTCTTGGGCCGTCGCGAGATGGTACTCCTAATGGGTAGGACGCAAGCTCACACGAGTGTACGAAGGGACCGCGCCGTCCCCGGTGAAGGCGGATCTTTGCCCTAGTCTGATTTTGCTTTGGCGCACAGGCGGCCTGCGATGTATTTATGATAGTGAATACAGAGTGTATTATGTATATCCACATACACCCACTATCATATACATTATCGCATACTGTCTTAGACGTCTTGTGTTTCATTAGATATATATAGATAGTAACACAAAGACTACTTTTTCCTATAAAATTGTTTTTAACATGCACTATGTACCACGGAATAATTGTTTTCTAGTTACCTACATCTCCCTAGTGAGGACTAGCGTTAGATCAGTTGTAACCATATTTCTGTCATGAATAAAGTTTTATTATTATTATTTATCGTGGCTTCTATTCTTAGAAAAAAAGAATCTAGGGCATTTTATAGAAGTCGCCTCCTCCCGCTACACACGGCTGGATTTTTAAAACTTTATATTTTTATTTAATATTCCAGAAATGAATATAGATTACGTTACAAACATAAAAAATACAAATCCTTTCTCATTATAATATTTAATTAAAAGTTAAAAATAGGTTTCAGTTGGGTTTTATTTATCGAGAGAATACGATTTAATTTAGTATTTCACAATCTTATTTTCTCAACTTATAAACTGTAATAACCTAACGTAATCAAAGTGGCAATATTAAGCTTACCAGCTATATTGGGAAATGTGTGCGTGTGCGCAGCCATTGCGGATAACAGCGCGCTCTGATACGCAGCCATTGCCGCGTTAACTCCGACACCTGAAAAATAATTTTACAATTATTGATTTATGATAGAGAAATTTAAGACTTAATGAGTCAGTGTGAAATTGGTACTACCGTCGCCATTTTGAAATGTCAGACTGACATTGTCAGTTAGCTCTCACATACAACTATCTACCAACATCTAATAAAAATCCAACTAAAATGTATTTATTTTTACTCCTTGCAGTATTACACAATGGCAAAGTTTTAATTATCGAACGGTTCTGATTGCTAGGTATCTTAAAGGATTTTATAGTGACACAAACTTAGGAACAACTGATATATATATATATCAGTTGTTCCTAAGTTTGTGTCACATTTATTTAAGCCTAGAACTGTATTTTCTAGATACTAGTATACATTGTTTTATTAAGACATTTCAATATTATTAAGTTAGCCTGCATGACTTCAAATTATTCCCCTTATAATGGTTAATTTTTATTTACTGGAAATACTAATATCCACGACAGCGACGCTCTTACTGGCTAAGAAAAGTATGTGGCACTGTAATAATATTAAAAACACCTTACCAGTTGGTGGCAAAGCTGTCAGGGTTGACAGTAATGCTGTATTTGACAGCGCTGAAGATTGGCTTGTCGATGAGCTGAAATTGACATAAACAAAATTTATGGTATATACACATACATATGTCAACCTTTTTACAAAAAATCTGGCCGACTGGCACTGTTGCAAACATTTTGCTTAATATAATTATCAAACTCAGGTTATAAATAAATAATTGTTTAACACATTTTATTCTCTACAAATAAACAAACCAGTGGCAACCCTTTTTAGGTCTTGCCCTCAGATTTCTGAATATTAATATTGAATAGAAATATTGATATTTCATACATTTTAGAGTCGGTCCTATGTTTTCCAAAGGTGTTTATTATTTGGGCGGCCTATAAACATTACAATGCTAGTGATCAGATCCTTAATTTATTATTGGACCAGGTAAAAAGTATATTATTTACAAATTTAAACAACAATGAACTAACTTTATATACTATATATAGAACTCACTTTTGTCTGCCAAAAGACGGTGGGTTGCCAAAAGTGGATGGGAAAGATGGTCTAAACAGCGGCGCTGGCGAAGAAGCTGGACTGGAATTTAAATAACTATTAAGCCTTTTCAGATGCTACAGCAACATTTATTTATAAAATATCTCTCTCTTTTGACTCATTCTAACTCTGATATCTTATATTCGAGAAGATAATATATGAACGAAAACAATCTGATGTACGGAATCACACAACACATTCTATTTAAACTATTGTATAGGTATGTTAACTAAAGCTGGCGGCTTCAACACATTTACACTTTGTGCTTGTGTAGTGTCTGTGAATAAGCGCGAGACGTGATGTCAAACTGAAATAACAATCAAAAAAAAAAAAAGAAAAAACCCTTCCTCGTGTTTTGGTGGACTAAAATGTATAGGCATGGCAAAAAAAACATATTTTGAAACATACTGTATGTGAAATTGCATTAGTGTGAGTACTGTGAACCCGCCAGCTTTCGATAACCGACCTATACTATTGAGCTCATGAATAACGCCTGTAGCCGGTGGATAGGCATAGATAGGAGTGGCATAATGCGCGAAGACTACGCTAGCGTAGGTCATGCACAGTCCACGAACAATAAAAACATGATTAAAACTTAAATCCAAAATAGGTACTACATGTTTATAGGACGTCGTTATGTAATCGCGGTTCGTAAATGCACAACGCCATCTATTGTTTAATAAATAAATGAAATCACGAATTCAGATAGTATATGTTAGATTTTCAGAATCTTCATGTTCACAAGTGTACATTTATGAACCTTCCTATTCTTATTATTTTTTAAATAGGTTTAAGAAATATTATTTAAAATATTTTTATATCTGTTATATAAATGTTATTTTGTTGTTAATTCGTTACATAAGCGGAGCGCAAATTAAAATTTAATTAAGTCTGAGTAGGTTGTGAGGGCCAAATCATGGCGCATGAAGATCACTATAGGCCATAGTTATTTTGGACATTAAAAAATAATTATTTGTCGTATGCTTTTGAGGAAAAATATAAGACGAAAAACAAAAGTGATGCCTTACATTATGCCCTAAAACAGAAGTGGCAATGGGCAGGGCATATAGCAAGATACACAGATTAAAGGTGGACTTCTTTAAAGACAACTGTATGGAAAGGACCAAGGGGAAGAAGGAGAAGAGGGCGCCCCAAAAAAGGTGGATAGAAGGAATAGAAGCGGGAGCAGGAAACGAATGGAGAAAGAGAGCCATAGCCAGAGTCAGTTGGAAAAAGCTAGAGGAGGCCTTTACCCGTAAAGGGGTTCCGATCGACGGTACTGAAGGAAGCTATATATAGGATAACAAACAAAAGAAAATTGTGCGTGTACTAGGTGTACACACGTAAGAAGTGAAACTACTTTATGATCTTATTTTTCGAAAAATGATCTACTATATGCAACTTTACAGAAATTCGTTAAATTAGATAAAGTTTAACAAACGGCTTTTATTATCATAGACATGAATACAAATATTTCATTTTACCTTATTACTACGAAGATTATTATAGAATTTCATTAATTGTAATAGAATTATTACTATCATTGAAAAACGTGACGATTTGCTACAAAATGTCTCCCATACGTCGATAAAGAAATTTCATTCCAACGCCGATAAAGAAGTTTGACTTCAAAAAGAAAGTATAAATATGTAAAATATTTTTTTTTTGTCATGATTAGAAATAAAACGGGCTTTATTATTATTATGCTTTTAAGGTAGAATACCTAGAGTGAACTGTGTTTTAGGTCTAGAGTTTGTCATTTTTTTTCAGGACTCCCATAAAGCGCAGTCTACGTAGCTTAGGTACTTACCTAGCAGTCTTACTGCCAGTGTTGCCATTCGCATTGTCAAGCTTCAAGCTGTTGTTGTTCAGCAGTGGTTCCATGGTGGGACTGTTTGAGGGCCTGGTGGTGTCCGCTGCAGCCTTGCTGTGTCCTGGGGCTGTCGTAGTGGTGGTGGATGCTGGGCTGCTGATTGCACCGCTGTACAGGTTCAGGAATGATGATGTCGCCGTCGTGTCTATGGCCTGGATTTATGGTAAATGTTAGTTCTGAGAATGGGGAAGATATATTTGTGTTAGCTATTTTACACATATACAATAAAAAATCAAATAGGTAACACAATGTACACTTATGAACGTCAAAAAAGAAATATATATTAAATGCTTCTAATTTTACATTTACTGCCAGTTATCAAGGGAGTAGAACGGAAGAGAAGAACTGGCAATAAACTCTCCGTCACTCTTTTTAATCGCCAAGGTTTTTGTTTTCCACATGACATCTTATTAGTTAATTAATAATAATAAAATTAAATTAAAAACAAAGATTTGTCCTCTATCAGCAGGAGGCATGGTGAAATAGGAGCACGCACTTACATTCTCGTAGGAACGTATACATTTGATAATTTAGTCCCATTGGGAGAAGATACTATGACCGTGAAATGAAGTGGTTAATAACAATAAACCAGTGGTGCTACAACCCTTAATGGGTCTCGGTCTGAGCTTGAATCCGTTTCTTTGATCATTTTTATTTCAAAGACTATTATCAGCCTTCTGGCACATGTCGTATCGATTTTAGATATGCCGATTTCCTCACAATATTCTCCTTCACCGTACGAGCAAGTGTTAAACGCACATAGACTGAAAGTCCATTGGTGTATGACCAGAGTCGCATGCTGAAGCTACTAGGCCAACACTGCAAGAAACGAAACTACACTGTGTAAAATAAAACAATAAATAATATATTGAAAACTGTACTTGAATTTTGGCAATGCAAGAATGTTCCCAAAATTGTAGTTAACTAATACTTTTACTTTTTGTTAATTACTTACACTGCTAATTTTTACTAATATTTTTTTTCTACTAAGTATTATTATTATTACATTATTTTTCTGTTGTGGTCTCTAACAGAATGACCAGCGCTGTGCAACACGTCTGTTCCTCAGCATAATGCTGAGCCAGGGCCAGTTACAACCACAACACACACGCATTACACAATTAAAACGATTTTTGTTATTTTAATTTTTTGATTATTATTATTTTGTGTGTTTCTGTGTGTGTTTTTTTAGTAATAAATGTTATGTCTATGTCTAATACAAAGTTACATAAAGGGTAGAATTTGTCATCAAAAATCGCCACTAGCTTATTATACATTTTTTTTCTATCTGTTACTTTTGGCACTTTTTTATTAAATATATGTAATTAATTCACTTTCTAATTTTGCAGATTCTCACACACACGTTTTTTTAAATGTGTCTGTGGTGTGGGTTAACTCACCATGGGAGTAGGCACGGTCGGCATGGGCTGGCTGACTGGATCCAGGCCAAGCCGCATCCGCTTCGCGTTGAGGCTCTCGTTCTCACACGCCTGCGCCAAGATATGTTCAGCTTGTACAGACGTTAAGTGCGCGGGAGTCGGACGCACCTGAGTAACACAGCTAGTCAATAGCTAGCAACCCTGATACTTTGGGATTCACCCACTGTGCTATAGGTATCTTGTTTTAATTGCTGTACTTTGATTCCCGCTGTTTTAGTAGTCTTAGACAAGCCGGTTTCCTCACGAGGTTTTCCTTCACCGTTCGAGGGAATGTTAAATGCGCAGGCATAAAGTCCATTGGTGCACAGCCGGGGATCGAACCTACGACCTCAGGGATGAGAGTCACGTTGAAGCCACTAGGCCAACATGCTCATACTGTTTTAGTAGAGCGCGTTTAGTTAGAAAATGTAAATTCGTCTACAACAATACTAAAATTTTGTTTCGGTGAGATTGGATATATAATATGTTTTAAAATCTCATCAGTAATGCCTTCAATATGTTAATAGTATGTTTCCAAAACTGAGCGTTTCTTAAGGCAGTTTCTACCGCGTACCACCACTATGTGGAGCCAGCTGCCCACTGAAGTATTTCCGAACCAATTCGACTTAGGTTCAAGAAAAGAGCGTACAAATTCTTAAAAGGCCGGCAACGCACTCGCGAAGCCCTCTGGCATTGAGAGTGTCCATGGGCGGCGGTATCACTTAACATCAGGTAATATCTTCTAGTTTCATCATCTCTCTCTCACTCTTTCTCTATCATACTCGAAACACAACTAACACTATCATACTACGACTATAAGTACTAGGAGATTATGATTCATGCAGAGCTCGGACCCTCACCGCTGTGTCCCAGGCGTTGCCTGATGGAGTATTCCCGCCATTGCCTGTAGCCGGTCCATCTCCTCGAACCTTCTTGTTACGCCTGCAGCTCTTCAAGTAAGTTCTGATTCTCTTGCGGGCGCGCTCAGCAAATTCCGGGAACTGCCTGGTACACGAATCTATGATGGCCTGTATCTTCTCTTTAGGCTGCTTTGAAATAGGAACTATCCTATCGAGGTTTTCGTCGACGAAAAGGCGAACAAACATCTGAAATTTGTATGGCATTCATTAGCTTGATTTATATATTTTTTATAATACTATATGTAGAATTCGAAATGAGAGGTAACAGGAGGTTGTAGGTTCGATCCCCAGCTGTTCACCATTGGACTTAGTGGAAAACATCGTGAGAAAATTTTGCCTTAGACCCAAAAAGTGACGGTGCGTGTCAGGCACAGTAGCTGATCACCTACTTGCCTATTAGATTGACAAATGATCAGATACAGAAATCTGAGGCACAGACCTAAAAAGGTTGTTGCGCCACTGATTCATTCAAAACTACTACCTAAACCTTAATCTAGTTACAAAATCTGTTTAATTCACTTTTTATTTGAAGTAGGGTTTTAGGGACATATTTTTGAAAAAAAAAAATGGTGGATGTCAAAAGGATGAAATCTTTAAAAATTTATACACACATATAAATATGTAACATACATTAAACGCCTTTAACCGCTCAGGATCATGATGTTGGGGATCGACACGATCATCACTGTCATCATCAGAGGCTCCTCCATCATCATCGTCCTTGGTTCTGTCGGATGATGAAGTCTCGTCGTGCGTTGATACTGGCTCCACTGGTGTTGAACCAATGTGGATTGGACTCTGAAAAATTCCGTTGAATATGATGAGATGTGTATAAAAATGGATGTTCTTCTAGATGACACTAAACATTATTAAATACAATATATTTATTTTCATTCATTACCATATCATTACCCAGAATGTTACCAGTTAAATTCTTAAGAGGCTTAGAATTTCTGTACTTCACAAACTATGTATTTGTATGAAACAGAGTATAACTTATATATTTTAATAATAAATATTGACAAGATAAATATTGACTAATGTCAGAACTTTGGTCAGAAAATAACAAGCCAAAAAACTTCGAGTATAAGATCATTCAAATATGACAATATTTCGTATTGAATTATTTATCGTAATGAATAAACGGAATGTAAACATATTTGCCGTGGGTCAAACGCACAGGCGCTAATTAAAGTTTTAAGTTGGCGCCTGGTAGATAGTATCGGTGACCCCAGAGCTGGTACTTTCCTGGCTCAACGAATAAGTATCGCAATACAGCGAGGAAATGCTGCCAGTGTTAAAGGTACACTGCTACAGGAACCATACTTTTTAGATTTATTTAAATTTCCTTTTTATTAATTTTTAGTTATTATTACTATGTAGGCTAAGAATATTGTAAATTATTTGTTTATGTGTTTATTTGTGTTATTAAACCTTATAATAATTGCCCCGCCTAACCGTCCTACTAAAAAAGACAGTATATTTACGTTAGTAATAATAATAATAGGTTACTATGAGGCTATGAACAGATATATTTTTATTGCTTTTCATATAAAAATTTTCTTATAAACCAAGTCCAAGAAGTCCAAGAGGAATCAGTCACCCACGTGGCTGTGGCTAACCAACGTACAGAAATCCTCAGAGCAGTGAGGTGGCTGTGAAACCTGCGAAGTGCCCAGGAGACTTCTGTGCTTCTGGAAGGAGCTAGACTGGCTTTGTTAGCCAGGAATTTACGCACAAAGGAGAGTGAGAGTCTAAGTGCGGAAACTGAGTTCACCAAACCTTTGACCTTTTTTAACCTTTCTACGTCCAAGATGTATCAGTATTTTTTTTCTAATCCATTTTAAATAATGCCAATAATATAGAGTTACGTTTGACGACTCATTGGTCTAGTGGTTAGCACCCCTGACTGCGAAACCATGGGTCCCGGGTTCGATCCCGGCTGAGACGAACATCGATGTGATGAGCATTTGATGTTGTGCTTAGGTCTTGGGTGTTTAAATATGTATTTATATGTCTATCTATCTATAAAATGTATGTATATCCATTGCCTAGTACCCATAACACAAGCTTCACCAGCTTAGCATGGGACCAGGTCAATTGGTGTGAATTGTCTTTAAAAAAAAAAAATATTAATTCTCCTAGTTCTCATATGTTTAAAAATAATCCTTAATCCAAGTAAAAATAGTATGAAACGCTGATCAACCTTAAAACTCACCGAGTGTCCGGTTGTGAGAGGCGTGGAAGGCTTAGGCGGTTTGGACCCAAGCCCCAACGCGCTGTGGTAGGAGGCCCACAGGTCAGCCATACTACTGTCCGTACCAGTTTCTGGTAAGTCTCCGTTCCTGCCTGGAATGTGATTAAATAAGTGATGGCGTAATATTCGTAAATAAACTAGTACATTGTGAAGAAAGGAAGTTGCCCCAAGCTAAAGGAAGAATCTTCTTACTGACTTGCCAGTACTAGCGTCCCAAAAGGCTGATTACCACTCCACGGCCCGATTCAGAGTAGGCGATATCCCTTATTTGTAACAGCAGATTTTGGTTATTAATTTTTTACAATTAAACAATAAGATTTACAATAAAAAACGATCTTTTTTAGGCAATCAAGGCATGCAGGCAATTTTAAAGGCATTAAATTTTTTTATAAAGTATTTTATAAGTGGGATGCGGTAGTATGTTGTAAACAGTGCAGACATCATATGTTACATGAACTGGGTCCATTATTTTCTGAAAAACCCCTAATAATTAATATTCCTTTAGCTAATAAACCAACTCTATCAGTAATACTCGTGTCTACCCTACTATATGTCTACTCTTTACTATATATTCTCACCGATAAACGTCTTTTTAAATATCAAATAATTAATCAATAAACCGTGCGTTTAAATTTCAAAATTTAAACATTGTGAACTAACAAGATGGCGGATGTTTGTGATCAGCTGTATAATTATATTTTATTAATTAATTACAGTAATTAGTTATTGTAATAATTATTTTATAATAAGAACTTTGCTTATTTTCAAATGCACGTAATTTCACAAGGTAACAATAAAAATCCATGACAATTTGTTTAGAGGTGTGAAAATTTTTTTTATTATTTCTTTTGTTGGCAATTTATTACTAATTCTAGTTTTTCATCTGTTAGGGTGTATAAATATAATTCGGATATTTAGAATTATCCAAAGAAACCAGTGGCGCTGGCTTTTAGGTCTGGGCTTCAAATTTCTGTATCTGTTTCGTAAACATTTATTTTATATACAAGTGAATTTTACTTCATTTTAGTTATAGGTAGGGTTATATGTTATTTTGAGTTTGAGTTTTTGTTAATTGTTTATGCACTTCTTGTACCTACTTTACCCTCTGTAGGTGTTTTTTTTTTTTATTGTTCCATATTAGGGATGCCTGGAGAAATCGCTTCAAAATGAACAGAATGAAGTTGCCCACTAATTGAAGTTATACTTCTTTAGGCGCGTTATGAAAAATTGATGAGAGTGAAATTTTACGATGCGCGCGCACCGTGACACAAAATTAACAGAATGAAGTTGGCCACTAAATCGCTCATTAAGTTGAGGACAAAATGCTACCAACAAAACAGAAATGGAAACTCTGTTAGTGGCGCATGTTGGCACGCACGCCGCCTCTGTTCACTGTGTATTTATATTTTTGTATAAGGTAACGAAGTGTAAATAAATTAAAAATGTAATTATTAATGCTCACATAGACAGAAAGTCCATTGGTGAACCAGGGATCGAACCTACGACCTCAGGAGCTACACGGAATACACACTATAACATTTTAAGATGTTTTTAGTATACCATTATTTATGTTATATAAACGCAACCTTCGGGCTTCTGTAACGGCTACTAAAACAATTATTGTTTCACTGGAATAATCAAGACCAGTCTTAATTATAAAAAGATTAAAATGAATGAATATAATGTCTCATTAAACCACCACAATTAAAACCAGTTTGAGCTTCCTAAATTAATCAGGTTGAAAAAAAAACCCGCGCCACAGAACACGCCTAGAAAACCAGTTGAAATGTTTTGCTTATGGCAAAACTTTTGCACTAACGTTTTTGAATTCTCTCTATTAAATAATTTTGGTACCAAATAGAACGAATCTTGGAATATAAGGATAGCTTTGAACTTCTAGTATGTGGAGTACAAGGCGTGCTGAACTCTCTCCACGTCCTTATATAATAAAACTAAAACGATATTTTGAGTTATACTAGACTATTTAAAATTAGTAATTCTTTTTTGGGTAAAGGGATACTCTTCTTTAATAAAATCACAGAGGCTCTTTTATCTCTGCCTTTTAATAAATTTAAGAAATGTATTAAAGAAAAGCTGTGTAAAAAGGCTTACTATAAAGTTAACGATTATCTAGTTGATAAAAGGGCCTGGGACTAGTTCTAGACAGGCTACTTCTAATTAATTTGCGATATTTGTTTTAAAATAAGTGTTGTTATGATTTGCTATTTTAGAAGAGTACCGAGAGTTTTTTACGCCGGCTTTTTCTCTCGGCCTACACCCTCTGTCTTCTTTGCGATGAGTAGGGATGCCTACAGATTCAAATTTAATGGCGGGCAATAAGTGATACCTGTATCTTATGTTCCATAATAAATATTTTTTATTTTTATTTTTTATACATAACATTAAATTTATTACTAACGAAACACACACATAGTCATTCTGCCAGAGACCACAACAGTTAGTTTGCGCCCCAGACGCAAAAAAATTTACTAATAATAGAAGAAAAAATTTGCAGTGTTTATAAAGACGTTTTGAACGACAACGTACAATTTATATTCACGAGAAAGACCCGTTTTAGCTCTCGTATTAAGGTTGTGCAAGACTTGTTATCATTTTCAGTTAACCTGTGTTACAAAAAAGTTTTTAATTAACCTAACCATAGACTCAAAATAAAAAATTAACCGTTAACGAAAACATTATGCACCAAGGCGGCAGATATTAATGGAGTACTCAGGGAACGGTGCATCTGCTTGCTAAATGTCAACCCAGGCCGGGTGCCTATAAATTGATGCGCCCCTAGTACGTAAGTACGGCTTCATTGCACAGTAAAAATAGCCAAGCGGTTTTGCAGAAATTATGTCCAATGAATAAAACTAGCAAATTCTAACTTGGAAGCCATAATTTAAGCCTATTTTGAAGCGTCGTTTTTACTGTGAAATTAAGGCTTTTAAGGAAAGGCCGTTGGGTTTGCATAAATAATACTAAATGCCAATGCATCATAACTGTAAACGACATATACGCTATGTATACAATTTTAGGATTACATTGCTCATATTTGATCAATTACCTACGTTGTACATCTCTACATGTAGACGGTCTGCTTGAAGTTCATTTAACTTAACCAAAATGTTTATATTTATGTTATTTAATTATGTATATGTACCCAGGTTGTAGGTTCGATCCCCTGTGCAGCAATGGACTTTTTATGTGCGCATTTAACATTCCCTCGAACAGTGAAGGAAATCGTGATGAATGTTGCCTGACTTAAAAATTCTACGGCATGTATCAGGCACAGGAGTCTGATCACATACTTGCCTATTAGATTGATGTTAAACAGATACAGAAATCTGAGAACCTAAAAGTAGCGCCACTGATTTATTTATTTTAATTATATGTATATTAAAATATTACCTGTTTGACCGTTGTAATTCCAAGCTAGCAACATCATTTTCAACTTCTCAGCATCTTTCGCGTAGCCTTGACCTGCACCAGATCATATTCCAAAATTGAAATTTTGAAAACGGAACTAAAAAAAATTTATAGCCAATTCGGTTGCCAGTATTTTATGACAAAGAGTTTTGTTGTTTCATAAAATACATGTTTTGATGTGATGCAAGCGGCTGTTAATCAAGATAGACACAGACTATAAATATTTGTAGAGTTTATTAATTCCTTATATTTATTTATATTCCCTAATAGTTAGTTAGGCTTTGAAATATTCCACAGCTTATTTAAATTAAAACGGAATTGTTAGAACCGAACTTTGTATTCGTTAAATTTTAACCAACTCTAGATTAACTGTATGTTAAGTATGTCGATGTGCTGTGTCTATCTTCATTACTATTTAGATATCTGTTAAATTGGATTTAAGTAAAAAAAAATATAACAAGTGGAAAATACTTACTAGAGAAGTTATCTTCGTCGTTCATATCTATTGGCTCTGGTGTTAAATTGTCCTGTAACAAAATACTTATTTTACTTATCACGTTTTTAGAAAGTAATTAATATATGTATATATATATAATAAATAACATAGAAATCATATTAAAAATAACACATATATATTATATATAATATTCTCGAATACCAGGGAAATCTAATCCACGTCTTGTACCAGGGAGGCATAAGTGCTAAGTAGTAAATAATTAGTGAAATGGTCCGCGGTTCCGGTCATCGCTCCGGCACAAATCGATAGTCCTGGGCCACTAAATATAGCCCTTCGCTTCTGTCCATAGAATATTGTACGTTAATCTCCTTTTAACAAGATATTATTAATAATACTTGTCTATTTAAAGATAAAACCATATAAATTCTTTAACTCGAAGCAATTAAGAAATAGGCCCAAATTCAATTCAATTTTAATATTATCATATTTGACCAATGAGCTGTGTTGGCCTAGTGCCTATAGCTTGCGACTCACATCCTAAGGTCGTAGGTTTGATTCCCGGCTGTCACTGGCTTTCTTTCGATGTGCGCATTTCACATGCGCTCGAACGGTGAAGGAAAACATGAGAAACTTGTCATAGACCCAAAAAGTCTACGGCGTGTGTCAGGAGGCTAATCACCTACTTGACTATTATATATCATGAAACAGATACAGAAATCTGAGGCCCAGACCTAAAATGGTAGTTGTGCCACTATTTTTTTTTATTTGACTTAAATGATTACTCAAAAGGTAATTTAGATTTTAATAAATTTCGCTTCAGTTTTTTTATCCTTCATATATTAATACCGATTTCTCATTTCAATTCCTTTACGATATGGTAAACTTCAATTTCTCTATAAATAATAGTCGGGTTCGCAGTAAAAAGATGCATTTGAGTACTAATAATTGCAGTACAGCTGTCGAACTGGTTTCGTTCAGAAGCTTTGAAACTGCAAAAATGTTTCTTACTTGAAAATAATATATTGAACAAAAATTAAACAATTTGATTGTTTAACGGTCTGATAGTAATGCCAATATAACGCGGTAACCCTAAAACGCGTGTTCATATAACGCGGAGATTTCTCAAGTTATATTATGAAGTGTGAAATTGTGTTGTTAAACAAGAATCTTTATGAAATCCGTGTTCGTTGGTTTTGAATTAAAAAAAAAAGGTTTTACGTGGATACTCTTACAACGCAATTCCTATAACGCGGTCCAAGTTTACTGTATATATTTACATCTCTTTAAGTCGCACCTTCGAAACTCGAAAAAAAATTCTTTCCTTCAAGCCCAAAAAATCCATTACACGAAATCTAATATTTTCCCTCGAAAATTTGAAAATATAAATTGGACCTCTGCATCTCTAACATTTTTTTTGACATAATTTTGTCAAACTAGACGTTGCTTAAAATGTCTATCTGATACGTTCCTTGAGCACAGCGCACCTGGAAAAATTCTGCCACAGAATTGTCAAATATATTGTAAGAGCACAAGAAGTGACGCGGGTCCCGCCTGCCAGCGGTCTCCAACTCGCTGTTAAATATCATGAGGATATTTCTGAAATAGTTTTCGTGCGGTCCCGACGGGAGACGCCCATCAGACCTAGTTTAAACAAATAAAGTCCCTTTTTACGAAAGGGGAGTCTGATATGCTGTTAGTTCAATGTTTTGTCCTTATCACTTTCGTGTCACTAAATGTGACAGAACATGATGTGGCGTTAGGCAGCTACTTTCGGGGTTTTCTTCCTATGTTCGCCACTTGCTCCTACGGTGTCGGCCAACATTTTGAGGAAATCTGTCTTAGAGTGAGATTCTGAAAAGAACTGGCGCTGTATGACAAGTCTGACAGATTTTTTTTACATAACAAGGAGCAAACTCACGTAATATAAAGTGGTACACATGGACAGTGGACACTCACATTGCCAAAAGGCTCGCAAGTGCATTGTCGGCCTTTTAAGATTGGTACGCTCTTTTCTTAAAGGACAGAAGGAGAAATACTTCAGTGGGCAGCTGGTTCTGGTATGTACGTGATGGTGTGTGTTCAAATGTGCTTTTTGAAGGAAAATTGTCTAGTAATAAAATAATGTTGTTGTTAAATTCGTATTCGTATTCGCCGAATTGAGCAGTTTGCTTAGTGGCTTCAGCGTGCGACTCTTATCTTTGGGGTCGAACGTTGAAGGAAAACTTCGTGTGTCAGGCACAGGAGGCTTATCAGCTATCCTATTAGATTGACAAATGATCATGAAACAGATAAAGAAATCAGGATAAAAAAGGATGTACCAACACTGTTTCTTTTTTAATTGTAGATGTGAAATTCGTATTCGTTAAACTAGTATTCGTTGCACAGTTTTAAAGATCTTCAAGCCATATAAACATAGATTTTCTATTTCCAATGCGGCTTCTTTACTAGCCACGACATAGGGCCTGCTATGCAGATCCATTGACCCCTATGTATTGCAATTCACTCTGTAATTAATTACACCTCAATGACAGATAAGGTGCACTGGTGCGTACATATATACAACCTAATTGCTTAAGATGCAGATTGGTTATACATCCCTTTGTTATGCCAAGTATGTATAGGCTTCAAAATATATATAATATTATATATGCTACGAAACTCACATTTTCGCTTAAGAGTTAAAGTAAGTCCTAAATTATAGTTATATATAAAATAGAATCTTTTTGAACATATAATTAATATTAATAAATAAAGTCTTTATTAATTGTACTAGGGGTATGAAAATGGTGGGAGTTTTTAATCTTAAATTCCTTGGAAGCGTTTTTACTGTTTGAGCACAAACCTAAAGATATTATTAATTAATTGAAATCATAAGTTACAATTAAACCTTCATTTATTTCTTCAGTGCTAGTACTAATTTTTATCGTTTAAATTGTTTGAGGTTCAATTCGGAGGTTAGGGTCAATTAAAATATAATTTTATAATAAAATGGTATTGGACGAAAATGTTACCTTTCCATTAAAATTTATTACAGTGATTAATCAGGAAAATGGCGTCAGGCTGCAAATAAACATGGACCTAGGTCATATATCGATAGGGAATAAATTGGGAAATAACCTAGTTTTCAATACAAAACTGCAAAATTTCGGGTACCACCTATGTACTGCTGATACATGGCCTTATGTACCTCCATCCCCCTCGCGAGCCCGCTATAGTGCCACCCCGCGAATCATGCCGTGTCAAGGTATCGGTAGATAGTTTATCGACTATCGATAAATGAGGATTAGCTGCTTGGGAATTCATACGATGAAATAAAGGAGAGTAAAGGCACACTTTAATAAAATTAAATTAAATATTCTTCTCTGCAAAAGACATACAAGAATTGATGTCAAGGAAATTCAAATATTCTCAAAGAAACCCCTTCTCATACATGAAAAATCATGAGGAAATCCTAGTAACATCATACTAATACAGTAAGAAAATTGAATTTCGTTTTTTATAAAAAGCTACTTCGAAACTGCTGTGAGATCAGTAGGTACTCAAAGTACCTTTACATAGTAAAAAAAAAACAATTCCACATCATTAGTTTCATCGACAAGTGTAACCACTGTAGCAGCAATCAGGTGGCAGTCAGCGTATAATCATTAAATACCCCGCGGGGGTGATGACGCCGCCCGCCCACCGCGCCCAATTATGAAAATACGAACAAAATACATTTAAATTTCATACGACCGAAACTATCGATACCGATTGGGTATTGTCACAACACTTCTTGAATTAAGTATAATTCTCAGGAACAGAACACCCCTAATTTAAGTTACAAGTTAGGGCTTTAAGATCGACTTGGATGAGATGTAGGATAGCTAAAATGTGAAAGGAAGGAACGAAATAATTCCGAATATATCTGAGAAAACTACTGAGTATAAAATGTTTAACGTAAATAAAATGAAATAGAGAGATTCATTTACGAACTAAAGTAGCTATTTAATTCAAAACATATTGAATCAAAGGAAACTTTGCAAGAGGAAAATTTTAGGGTCGGAAAATAAGTCGGAAAAATCTCCGTAAGCGGTCTGCTAATAGCAGGTTTTTATTTTAAAACTTCGCCCGTCTCAGGGATCTTCAGCTTTTCAAACCGGGCTAGGGTTCGGTAGTTCGCCCTAGTATTTTTAAAGCGGACAGCGCCCCCCTGCGGCATACGCGGTGGCCCCCTTGCCCCCATCACCCCAACTCCCCACCCACACACGGTAATACCATAACGGGGTGCGAGCTATGACGAGATTATCTACGTACGTATATAACCGTACAAACGTTGCCTATGTACCAGGATCACATAGGTATATAAGCGATGACTTGTGTACATAGCAGCATTGATTTACCGGGCCGGACGTTGTCATCGCGATGACGATTACAATATCGTTGAAGTAAAAATGCCGCGGCAAGTGGCTTCGGGCTGAATAATTGCTATATTATATTATATATTAAACATATATTAAATATAAATTAAACAAGCTAACCCAGCTATTCAACTAGAATTTAAAAAAAATCAAGCTAGCAAACACAAAGGCATACAAATGAAGTTACTAGGGTATTATAACCTAACTAAAGTAGTTTATTATGGATTATATTCCAATTGGAAGCTAAAAGGCTGTCCAAATTTCTTCTACTAAATATATTATATACATTACGTAGCAACTAGCAACAGTCCTAGATACTAAATATTCTACGGACATTTAATTAAAAACAATTTAATTGGTTTTATTGAGATTTTGTAAAACAAAAGCTTTAATAAGCAATTTCTAAACAATAGAACCGTTGTGCAAATAAAATCGAAGTATTAACTGATTTACAATTATTAAAACATTTTTTATTACGTGCAAAACATTGCGCTAAAAATTGCAATAATAAATTTAGTTATATATACATTTAATTTTTTTTTTAATTTACACCAAGTAGACAGTATCTAGCAGCGTAGGCCCGGCTTCGCGGCTGGATATTGATTTTATTAAATATATAATAGTTAGACATATAGTATCAAGGACTTTTATGTAGATAATTATATCTTCTATAAAATTGCGGTACATGACTTTGCTCTATTGTCAATAGTTTCCTCAGCATATTCGATATAGGGATTTTTATTGGTAATTTTTCCCATCTTGGATTACATTATCGCAGTTTTCATACGGATACCTAACTTTTTTGAAAATATTCTATAGTCTATGTTCATAAGAAATAACGTAGGATTCGTGTGGTGAAAGAATTATTCAAATCGGTCCAGTAGTTTTGGAGGCAAACAAACAAATAATACAATCATTCACATTAGTTAGTAAAACCATTACAAAATGAGCTACCTAACCTTCACAAGCTGATACACTGACGGTTCCTTATAAGCTTGTTACATTGTCATCTAAAATCTATATCGTACCAAGTTCTATTTAGAGAATGGATTACGAATTAATACAGTAAGTAATACAGCTACTTGCCTTGAAATCTCGCGGTCTACTATAAAGGAGACTGTATACTGGTTGAAATATATATTTCAAAATATATTTTGTACTGCATGTATTTCGTCTGGCGCTTAATAATTAAAACTATGATTTAAAATGTTCCCCTATTTGCGATAATCACAAAGAAATCTATTTCAGTAATTGAAGAGCAAAAAAGAAAATATTTCTTTACCTACTTAAGCATATGTGTTCGCCAGGAATCGAACATAGAATATCCACAGTTAACCACTGTATTGTGTTAAGCAACCATTATCATTACTTGCCCTAATCTTTCATTAATATAAAATATTTGTCAAAATCAAACTCCAAAAAAATTGTCGAACATCGCTAATTCCAAATTCAAACCTGTTACCATGGTTACGCTTTATTAAGCTAAAGACGGCCGGATATGTCAAATATGACAATTTATGTCAACCATTAAAACACATTTACCCGCCTAAATATAGAAATATCAATAAATAATTTAATTTTTAACCAATAGTTACAGTTTTAACTAGATTAAAGTGTAGGCAAAGGTAAAGTTGAATTCGTGTATGCGGCGGTGTATTTGTGTGTGGTTCCCACGAGAATGTAAGTGCGTGCTCCTATTTCAACATGCCTACTGCTGATAGAGGACAAATCTTTGTTTTTATTTAGTTTATATATTTTTTATTATCGTAGTTAAATACTTAAATGTCATGTGGGACATGGTATAATGGTTGCAGCTCCTTACAAACATTTTGTAAAACAAAAAACGTGGCTATTAAAAAGAGTGGCGAAGAGTTTATTGCCAGTTCTTCTTTTACGCCCTTGATTTGAGAACTGGCGGTAAATGTAAAATTAGAAGCATTTAATATATATTTCTTTATTGACGTTCATAAGTGTACATTGTGTTACCTAAATGAGTAAATGAATTTGAATTTCGAATTAGAAAGATCGTCCTATCATATGACAGTGTACAGTGGTCCTTAAGCGGCGCCTAAGAACCTCACGAGGCTTGCTAGGCGAAATTTCAAAGCATCTGTTAGGGGGCCTCCCACCCGTTACGCTCTTTGAAGTGTGATAAACTTGTAAAGGTTACTGCAAACTGAGCTGAGACGGATACAGTGAATGGGTTGGTGGTAGTGGTTCAACTGTGGTACTTTATGATTTAAAAAATCTTATACAAGTAACATAGAGGTGTCTCTTTTCAACACGGCATAAACACAATTTGACGGAAAGAGACAAAACACATTGGTTCAAAGACTATAAACTAATGATTGCTTTCATGAATATGGTGTATTTATTTAAGTACACTTGCTTGGGCTCTTTATAAAAATAAAATATTTATTTTAAAAGTATAATAGTGTAGTAGCTTTCACTTAAATCTAAGTGTTTTAATTATGGTGTTTGGAACACTGTATATCATAAATAATACAAAAACAAATGAAGATGTATATATACATTACACAACAATTGCTTGGGAACTAATATGACACTAATCCAGCGTCAACAGAACCGGTGAGTAAAATATGTTTATTAGTTGCCTTGCCGATATATAACTTATACAGTTTTTATATACCTAAGCAGTTTTGCGTTTGTGAACATACTACATAATATGTAAATGAATCACTGTTATTCCAATAGTCTGTGACCTGGCCCTAGGAGCCCATTAAAACGTCGCGGTGCGGTGTCAGGCCTCCATCGCGAATTCAAAACGGCATCCAACACTTTCAGACGGCTTCTACTGATTTGATATTTACTTGAATATACTTGATACTTTTGTACTCTCCGAATAAAGCGCCTTAGAAATCTTTAAGTTAACTTCGCAAAAGTTACTCTAGTTATTTTTAATAATAGTTAATACGTGAACATAGTCATTTCCCCCTATAACGCGGAGATTAGAAGTTCTGTAGTGTGAAATTTATAATTAGTCCATAATTAGTTTTGCGTACCTTTGCATCTTCAATTGTTATAAAATTACTTCTACTATGCAATAGCGCGATAGTCTCGGACTGCGTTATAGGAAAGCGCGTTGTAATTGATTGGATGGAGGGTGGATTCAGTATAAATTAAAACCGAAACGGTAAAACGGGTAAATTCTATTGACGCTATGTTATGGGGTCATATTTCTTTTACAAGTAAAAACGTCTAAGTTATGCAGGACACACATAGTATATTTTCAAGTCTAACATAAGTTACGAACAGCTACTAAATATATATTTAATTACCAAATAAAGGTAAGTAGTAGTAGGTAGGTAGGGGTTATTTTAATGAGAAAACTAAACTAAACTAACTAGAATGAATCTTACAACTACCAGGATTACATAACATACTAGAACAGCAAAGGGCTAGTATTCGCGTGCAAGGTCGCCCGGCGCCTCAATGGTCGTTCTACCGTTCTACAGTTACCGTCGCTGTTTTTGTTCATTTACTTATTTAGTAATTTTATTGAGAGCGACTTTTTTCATGTCATTTTAAATGGTAATTTAGCTTTTTGCTAAAATTCGTGAAAAATGAAAGGTTATTTTAGGTTACATTGAAGTGGCTTTTGTGTAATCGCGCAAAGCTATAGAATTTAATGTTATTTTGATAGTTAAATGAAAAGAATTCTAAAATTACGATGTCATTTTAAAACAAAATTTGTTTTTCATAAACTATTTTATCCTCTATTCGTTAACTTACAATATGACCATAGTATTCTTTGTTAGTCCCGACTCCCGTCCCCATCTCCGCTAATGGGCATGGGGCAGGCATTTCTATGCTTGGTTGCTATGGTTTTTGAATTATCTGTGACACAAAGCCAGACAGATCAGCCGTCAAAAAGTGTGTGTGTGTGATTTTGTAGAGAACATGGACGCTTTATTTTGGTTTTGTACCAGGACATTATGAAAATTTTGCGCCTCGTTAGATAATTTCATTACTATTCCATAGATCGTTATATCGCATAATTCATACTTAAAGTTACATCTTAAAATAAAAATACAATCTGGCTTGTTATTTTTATAGTTGGAGTAGAATTAAGAATCTGCAGCATTCGTGTTATATAAAACTGTCCACAAATAAATTACAACGGTAAAACAAGAAACCTTATCCAATGTATCTTTGTCATCTGAGACTCCGCCATTTTGAACCGCCCTCGGCGGGAAAACTGACTTTGGCGCCAATTTAGGAGCGTCGTGGCCAGTGTTGCCATTTTCTTAATAATATCTTAGATATTTTAGGGCAGCGTATATAATTTTATAATATAAAACTTAGGAAGAATTTGTATCTTTTAAAGACTTCTAACTTCTAAACGCCCATATTTATTTATTCGCTAACATTTCTGTATATTATATCAATTGTTACATATTTTTTTATTTCTTTGTTATTATCATTTATTTTTTAAAAGGGGCATGATTGGACATTGATTTCAAAATATGTTGGTTATAAATGATTTTTTTAATTTGTCCAGTATTTTTTTTTAGTTTATCCGTAAATATAAAATTTTCCTTGTATAGTATATATATATATATACATAGTATATCCGAAATACAAACAGAAAAAAAAGTTTATAATAACCGTATCTGTATTCAATTAACAAATAATGACAGATGGTTGATGGCAATTTTGTAACATCATCCGGCCAAATTACGAAGTACCGTGTTACGTGCTGAAACGTTAATTAACCAACAATCCTAATAAGTAGGGTTATAAACGTATGAATTCCTTTAATTGCATTTTTTCTGCTAAATACTCGGTTAATAATAGATGGGACCTTGAGATCATCCATTGTGTAACTTGAAGCATTGGTAATAAATAAAAATGATCTATCGTTTTGACAATTGTCAAAATGCAATTTGTTAACATAATTTATTACATTTTGTACCTAGTGAGTTTTTTTTTAAATATTATGGCAATAGTTTACCTAGTGAGTTAATAATTTGTTTTAGAATTTCAATGGCGCTTTTTATCGTCAATTGTCAAACGGAAAGACAAGCGCCTAATGTCTGTGATAACACTACAGATTCTGTCACTAAACGCCCCAAAATTATGCGCTGACGTTTTGTTTGTAAAACGAATGCCAACTTTAAAAAAAAGCGGTTTAAACAGTTTAAAAAGCTTGTTGCAACCCTAATACCAGGTTGTATTAATAAGTAACTTGTAACGCACCATATCGTCCTCAAAAAGAATACTGAAATCGATAAAAAACTTTAATAATTACCTTTGGCAGAACATGTTGTAGCAATGCACCAGCCTTGCGTTTCGCCGCCATCTTGGATTCACTTGGAACACTTTTGTCTTTGGTTTCAATAATTACAATTGACAACTCAGTTCATTAACCCCATTTCATATGCTGTAATTTTGTTTATGCTACGATTGCGTTTTTTAATAAATTAATGTACTTTTTAGTGCTTATGTCCAACTAGCTATTGTGAATATTTTTTCAAAGGCCGACGTTTTACCAACCAGCTCACTATGAAAGTCAAAATATATTTGGTTTTTTTAGTGTAACAGGAGATAAATGGGTAGGAGGCTTTTATGTTAAGTGATACAGCCCATGGACCCACACATTGCCAGGAGGCTCGCAAGTACGTTGCCGGCGTTTCAAGAATATAACAATTTATTTATTTAATTATAAGTAACTCCCCGATTTTCATTTAGAATGCGTTACAACTATTTTCGACACCGCTATTTCTCGAGTGCTGTCAAAAAGATTTTTTAAGCATTTAAAGTTGGATTTAAGTTAAATAATACGCTCATATATAAGAGATCTTCCAACTTTGATTTTGTTCCCTTTGGAGTAGACTCTTGGGCCGTGTTGATCAAGTGCACAGCTAATTAAAGATATAAGTTGGCGCCTGGTTGGTGTCGGGGACCCTAGAGCTGGTGCTTTCGCTCAACGAATAAGTATCGCAATACAGGAAATGCCAGCATTAAAGGTACAGTATAGGGACCAAACTTTTTTAATTTTAGTTTTCTATTTGTCAATTTTTAATTATTTATGTAAGTAAATAAATTAAATCAGTGACGCTACTAACTTTTTAGGTCTGGGCCTCAAACTTATGTTTAATGATCATTTGTCAAGTAGGTGAATAGGTGTCTAAGGCAAGCCGGTTTCCTCACTATGTTTTCCTTCACCGTTCGAGCGAATCTCAAATGCGCACATAAATGGTACATTGGGGCACAGCCGGGGATTGAAAATACGACCAGGGAAACTCGCTGAAGCCACTAAGCCAACACTGCTTTTTATCTAGGTAAAGAATATTGTAAATACTGTATATTTGTATTGTTTGTTAATGAAATCGTCAACTTCAAGACAAAAGTCTTGTTTCTGCACAGCCGGGATTCAAACCCACTACTGATTAGCTATTCAAAGTCAGTGATTTTTTTAGAATCTCTGGGAAAACCTATTGTATGAAGGGACAGCAAATTATATTTTCATTTTGTTCAGGATATAAAAACAAAGAACTACCCACATTTCTATAGATAACCTACATGAGGTAAAATAAACTTAAAAACGGGTCAAGTCGGAACAAAAGCTAGTTAGAATGATGCAAACTTTTAAGCTCTGATTATGACAAATACGACTCGAAAGCTTTTGTGATAGCTTTAGAAGACATAACGTTACTAGGAAGTATTTTAAAAAACAAGAAATTTTTTTTTTTTTTATATAGCTAAAACTAATTCTAAGCCACAGCCACCATTGGAATACTTGGCGTTGACATATCGAACGACGTTTAGTTTCGCGGTCACTTGGAGGGTAAGGCTAAATTAGCCTCAAAAAAGCTAGGTGTGCTCAGCAAGGCGAGACGGTACTTCACTTGGAGTACTGTAGTCACCTCTGGGAATTTACCATGGAGAGTGTTCAGAGGAGTTGTTCGGATTAATACCTGCAGCTGTGTTTCATCATTGGACGTTGAGTCCGAATTCGAAATTCCACCTGTATCACCTAAAGGTCCGCCGTTCCACAACTGAGCGCATTTAAGGCAGTTTTTGCCGCCACCATTATGTGAACTGAAGTATTTTGAACCAATTCGACTTAGGGTCCTTCAAGAAAAGAGCGTACCAATTCTTGAAAGGCCGGCAACGCACTCTGGCATTGAGAGTGTACCTACATGAGCCTTCTGCCCATTTGCGCTCTGTTCTACAAAAAAACCGAGACAGGATCAACCCAAACAACTCTTCAGAACACTCACCATACACTTTGCAGAATACGCACTACTGGTTTCGCACTGTCAAAAAAAATCTGTGGCGCTACAACCTTTTCAGTCTGGGCCTCAGATGTCTGAATCTGTTTCATGATCATTTTTCAATCTAATAGGCAAGTATAGCAATAGCTGCTTTCAGTGCCTGACACACGACGTCGACATTTTGGATCTAAGACATGTCGGTTTCCTTCACTTCGAGCGAATGTTAAATGCGCACATAGAAAGTTGGTGCACAGTACATCGATCCTACGACCTCAGGGATGAGAGTTGCACGCTGAAGACACTAGGCCGACACGGCTCAATCGCACAGTCAAACATACTTATTAAACAAGCTTTAAATATCAGTACAAATTGTAATTAAAAGACGATTAAAAAGCTCTAATAACCTACTTCCAGGGAGAATGGGGATAGACCGGTAAACAATGGTTTTCATTCAAATGTATTGTGCAAACCAACGGGCGTTCCCTGCGAAACGGGGCGTTTTTCAAAACGGGGAGATCGTGAAATTAGTACGCGTTAGGGTTCCCTTGTTCACTTTAGCGGGCCGTTGTTTTAAAAATTAATATATAAGTTACTTCGATGCGCAGAGGCTATGAGAACTTGGAGAAACTGATCGTGGCTGGTAACACAGAAGGCAAAAGACTCCGTACACCAACCAGATGGACCAAATGAAAAACGCATCGTCCTCAAAAGAAACCGGTGGAAACAGAGCACAGAGGCATGAGCTACCTACTGAAGAGAGAGATGTAGTCACATTTGCGATCTTTTTTTTTATATACGTGGTGGAAATTTGCGCAGCCCCTGCCCCCAAAAGTTCAGGGGTATGTGGTAACCACAGCAGAATCGATTGGGTGAGCAATTACCCTCGAGGTCACTCTCGCATTTTACCTCCTACGTCTTTTTGATCACGATGTCTCCTACGCCAGGTATTATTATTGGGATCTAAAATATTAATGATTAAACATTGTTATAAAATTTTGGTTTAAAGAAGTTATCTCATTAACGCTGTATGTCGCAATAATAATATTAAAAAAATAAAAGTATAATATATCATGCCACCATCGTACACTATTACTGCACCAAAAAAAAAACTTCGCAAGCCTATAGAAACTGATCCACTGTTTTTTTCCCGTATCTCAATAATAGTGCCGTTATCGTCCTGAAGGGTAAAAGAAACAAGCTTATTATGAGATTAATTAATCTAACCAAATGTATCGGACAATTTTACGTATAAAAGTATCTCTAATGAATGTTTTGTAGACTGATTTTGCATACCGAACCCCCTGATCCCTGACCCGCTCAATGCATTCCGCACTGCCCCAGGCCCCTCCGATACACGTCTGTCAATATCACGATTTGCCTCCTATTGATTTTAACATTTTGTTTACTGGCAACATCGACTGTCATTTTAGGGCTACTTTTACGTGCAAATAGGGTTTTTTTTTCATTTGAAATGCGTTCTTTTTTTGAATACAATACGTAGTCTGTGTATTTTCTCTATCTATCAACAATTAATCTATGTTTTGACAAAAATGCTTGTCCTCGTTATATAAAATTCGGAGTTACAAATATATTTATTTTTATGAAATAGCTGTTTAATAATTTACGCTTTAAAATTATTATCTAGTTACCTATTCATGTAACGTTTATGTATAATATATTGTCTGTTTTATTTGTATAAATTGACGCTTTTTTTTTTGTTTTAGCTTCTGACGCAAAGGAGAGTGTTATTAAAATTGTCGGTTCTGCTTCTCACAAAATAAACGACTATTTCTAATCTATGGAAACAATAGAAAGAAATACTGGTCGGTACAGCAACATTATTTCATATTTTATATTTCTTGAGGTAAAATTGAAAACTATTGAAATACTACTCGCGAAGGTTTCTATCTTTTTATCATAAGTCCTGATATTAAAACATTGGGGGTAATCTTTGAACATTATCGTAATTTTTGTATGCGATAATCGAACCTTGGAACATTCAACCAGTGCGTCATCTATCGTTAGACTGTCGGAGGCTGTCCATATTAATAACGTATTTATTATATATTTTTATTATCTTTGATAATACCACCACCACCACCAGGTTTGCAGTAAATAATAGACTAATATTTCTTAAAAGAAAGTACCAGGAACGCATATTCGTAGTGAAGCTTTAATGATTAGATCGTAAAAGGCTCTTCACATTAAGCTTATGTTTTTGTCCCAGATTTACGCACTAAAAGCATTAGAGGTATAAATTTATGGAACAATTGATCTAAAAACATACTCATAATGACTTACAACTTCGTTCGTTCGTTAAATACATGATCTGCTCTGACTTTGAAGCTGAAAAGATTCTTTGGTATTATTTCCTCCAACTAGTTTTACGAACTTGCTCTTTCGCGAATTTTGTAAACGTTTTTGACATTCATAAGCATGCACTAAGACGCATCAAAACTGAATAAACGTATTTTGATTTGATTGATTGATTGATCGAGTCAATTCTTATTACTTGTTTTATCATTATATAAGCTGAACGCAATATATAAAATCTGCGTGCGCTCTAAACGCTTATGCGCACGTTAAATCGCATCGTTTAATATATACAATATTTCGTTCCGAGGTCATCTACGCGTTTGCTTTTCTTGCAAATCTACAATGCAATTTCTTTATTTAAATTCCGTCCGTCACGAAAGTAATAAATGGCCATTTAATTTAGTAACGAAATAGCCAAGTTACGCACTGAGTTTTTTTTTAACAAAGTTGGAGTCGGTGAATCGGTGGTTGTTTTTTTAGTTTTACATTATTTAAAGATTTTACTCGCAAAATGTCTAAACTGTAAGTACATAGATGTGTACTGTACAATTTACCTAGAACTACATAATTCCATTAAAAGGCAGGTTGGATTATGTCCAGCTGACACCGACCTTGTAACAACATGAGACTAGGAATGTATAATGTAAAGGCGATCCTACTGTAATGGGTTTTAAGTATAAATTTAACAGACAAGCTTAATCATCTAAATTCAAAGTCTTTTCGGTTTCTGTGCTCCTAATAGAAAAATAACAATATATAGTAGGTT